ACCAATGAATCATGAAAATGAAATCATTCACAATGAGAGATTACAAACTATTTCATGAGTAATAATGAAGTTCGGAAATTTTTAATGACAAATTATTATTGACTACACATGTTATAGTAACATGTAGTAATACAAAATGAAAAATGGATAATCTGGACATAACACGAAATTGCATTATTGTTTTGAGTCGTCTTGGTCATGAAATAAAAACACAGCAATAAATCAGTTTTCTTTAATGTGTATCATTTAAGAACAGAATTCAATTAAGTAATAAATTATGCAACATAAATATTCTGATTGTTAAAATCTTAAAACATAACATAATCAAAGTGTTTGTGAGCACTGAAGGGTAAAGATTTTATTCATATTGCAGTGGGAACTAAAAATTAAACATTGCATTGGAAGGTTCAAATACAATTATGGACTAAAGTAGATAACTCCAATTTTAAATATTACTTTAATAATGACATCATTGATATTTTTAGCACAGATACTAGATTCAAACACCATGCATAATTTATGTTCTTTTCTTGGCAAGTGCGGATATACATATACATATTATTTTGTTAACTTGAATATCTGAGTACATATTTCATTGATAATTTCGTAATATGTTCTTGGATAGGTTATAAAGAATGTTGTGCTGAATACACTATAACTTTTTTTATTTCAAAAGTGGTAATAAAGTTGGGAAAATTAATAGCTATCAAACCAGTCCCACACAGGTTTTGATTGCATAAATGCAATTTTTACCCCAAAAACCATCAAAATGGGCTATTGTCAGGATACCACATGCTACAAGGACATGTACATCTTTCAATATTGCTAAAGATTAAAACAGCTGACATAAATATTCTGCTTGTGTTCATAAATCATTTGCCTTATCAAAAAATAATTATCTTGATTCATGAGGTCATTGATAAATAAAACTTATGCCAATTAACTTGACTTTGTCATGATAGAAACTTCAGACCATAATTCATCGAAAACAAAATTATATTCTGTTATAACTTGAAAAAATAGTTGATTTACTTTTATAGTTTTGTTTGTCATTGCTGCTAGATATAAGTATACAAATGGGCACAGATGCACAATTCATTTCAGGTAGGGGGTAATGGTAGCCTTTTTCTCAATTCCTCTGCTAATATCGTAAACTTAGATATGTATGATGTCTGGTTTCAAAGCTGAGACATTTTCACATATGTGATTAAAACTGCTTTCCAAATCTTCACAAATGCTTAAGCTCAGTCATTTGTTAAAAATTGAAACATGTCCAATATCACTATACAGAGATTTTTTGTTTACGCACAACTTTTGTGTTCCTCAATTTGAGGCTCATTAGGGAATTGACTCAAATGCCAAACTATTAAAAACAGTTGTTCTATTCAAGTCAGAAACAAGTATTCAGTGATTATTTAAATGATCATGTGGTATCTTTTGTAAAATTCATGAATTAAAACATTTTTTTAATGAATTCCAGTTTATCAAAGTTTTCTGTTGTGTTTTTTTAAAAAACAGTATAATATAAACAATAACACTTTTTGCCCAAGTTATAAATAATCCATTGATTCTGTGCTTGATTACAGTTTGTACCGGTAAGTTTTAATATACACATAAATAATAATTTTATTAATGTGTTGGACTTTTTGTGATATAGATATAGACTGAGAAACAAAGCTTTCTTTAGGCTATCCTTTTAAAAATGATTTATATCTTGGAGACAGAGATTTAAAAGGAATTCAATACAAAGAATATAAATATATTTTGATTAGAATTTACTATTTTGATATTTCATAGACTTATCTACATCACTGCTAAAATAAGAAAAGATGGGCTGTGAGAGAATGATCACTAACAATGCGCTTGCTATATGTATTTGGTAAGCAAGATATTAATGAAAAACAGATGTAGCAAATAAAATAATATATCTCTTGGTAAGTCCTTCGCTCATGAAGCTTGATATCAAATTTGGGAAGCCTTGATTCTTAGTGCCTAAGAAAGATACGGTGAAATTTCATAAATGACCATTATGTGTGAGAATATATAAGTGTTCTGCATTCAATAAGCTGGTAAGCAACAGACAAAAAAACAAATCACATGGAAACATGCTAATATAGCTTGCTGTTCGGTGTGAGCCAAGACTCCGTGCTGAAGGCTGTAGTTTGACCTATAATTGTTTACTTTTTACACATTGTGACTTTGATGGAGAGTTGTCACATTGGCACTCATACCACATTTTCTTATTTATAATACAAAGCTTTGATCCCAAATTTCAGGAAGCTGATTTATAATTCCAGAGAAAATGTGTAAAAAAATTGTATACAATAAATATAGAGGACTATGATGAGGACAACATGTTTACAATTATTCAAAATCTATTGATAAACTACTGGTGTCTTTCAAAGATATATTCTATAAAATACATTTATCCAATTAAAATATAAACATATTAAAATAGTGAATTTAACAGAAAAAATACACAAATTAATTGCTACAATAAATTTGTCCCTGAAAACTCAGAAATATTCAGAACTTTAGAAAACTGCTTTGAAAAAAAGAAAATTACTTCAAACAAGAATGTGTCCATAGTACACGGATGCCCCACTCGCACTATCATTTTCTATGTTCAGTGGACTGTGGAATTTGGGTCAAAACTCTAATTTGGCATTAAAATTAGAAAGATCATATCATAGGGAACATGTGTACTAAGTTTCAAGTTGATTGGACTTAACTTCATCAAAAACTACCTTGACCAAAAACTTTAACCTGGAGTGGGACAGACGGACGAACAAACAGACGCACAGACCAAAACATAATGCCCCTAGGTGGGGCATAAAAATGATTCAAATTATTGCTAAAAATGTACACACTCATACCTAAATTCATGTTAATACCACTAATTTGTTTTCTAAACATGTTTTTGTAAATTTGAGTTTTTACTCCAAAAACATGTAAATATGAGTTTTTACTCCAAAACAGTCTCTTTGGCATATACTTTTCAACTTCTTACTCATTGAGACAATTTAGACATATATGATCAAGTTCATTAAGCATATCAAATCTTTTAAAAAAAATGAGAAAAACACTGTTATTTTCATTTTTCCTGATCTTGTATATGAAGATATATATTTTAAGATCAATCAGCTACAATAATTCTAAGTATCATAAACATTTTTATAGGCTTTAATATATCATGAATTTATTATTCTTAAATCAAATATGATAGTTTTAGAATGTATGACTACAACTGTGACCTCAGTGGCGGATTAGCCGGGGGCCACAGGCGGCACCCCCCACCCCCCCCCCCAACCCCCCCCTTCCCAATCCAGGACACCAAAAAAATTTCTAGCATAATTTTATTGTTAATGAATCTGCTTATCTAGATCAGAAATTAATCACAGCTTGATTTGACTTCTTAACTGGCCATTAATGAATCCCAGCTTCAACATTCGTGACTTATGACAATTCGGTGGGTGTGTAAATATTGACACCTGTGTGTAATGTCTCTTTTCAAAAGATTTTATGTAAACTACATGTATATGTTGATTGGAATAGTACGAATATTTTTATTGGTTTTTAATACAAAATCACAGATTAAGATAGACTAACAGGTGAAATCTTCTGATCAGGAAAGAAATTACTAACTAAAATCTGTGTTTTAAAAAAATATGTACAAATTAATGTTTAGTGCCAAGAATGTTAGTATTGATATATCCGGAATATGTCTTCATAACAAAATTCTCACATTACCATTTCTAGTGAATTTTTTTTTCTAAACCGTCTTTTTTGTGACTTTTTTATCATACAAGACAGAGGGGGATTAAGGGGGGGGGGGGGGGGGGGGGGGGGGGGGCAGGGTGAACGCCCATTCCTTTTTTTTAGGGAAAAACTTGGTTCATTATATAGGGAATCACTGAGGCATGACTGGAGCGGGACCCCTCTTAGGCAGTCAGTGGGCCCCCCCTTATGAAAATTTCTGGATCCGCCACTGTAAGATTTGTTTTTAAACTGAATGTCGTCTTTTCTTTTACTTCTTATTTTCAAAGGAAACCAACAATCTGTTTTAAAAAAACCTGCCCCCCTTTCCACAAAAAATGGATTGGATTGACATTATCTAATATATAATCATTATTGTGTATTTTTATAAGCCATACTTTATAACATAATCTGGGACTAATACATTTATCTATTAGTCCAAGCATACAGTAATATATGACTGTGTATTTTTCCTGTTTCAATTATCATGTACATATATGAGGCTATGAATGGGTTGCCATTTATGAGGATATGAATGGGGTTTACAGAGAATAATCGGTCCAAAAAATATAAATAACAGAATAAAGAGGTGATGAAGTATAAAGAATAGATTGATTGATTGTTGGTTGCTTAATGTCCAGTGGCAAATATTACATGCATGTTTAGGACGAATATAATACCAATTGGCAGAAGAATACAGAATAGAGTGAAATGGTAATAAATTAAAAGATATAGAACTATAGAAACAATGATCTGACACCCCCACCATTACCACCCAAACTCGCATATATACATCTCTAAATAAAAATTTTATTTTGATTTCATAGTGCCCCCCCTCCCACACACATCAAGGATCTGGATCCGCCCCTGGACCTTTACTTTGTAGATGACTTTCACTTTCTATGCAGAATTGCCACCATTACTTATAATACCCTCTGGTATGTAGCATTTATAATCACATAAATCAAGAAATTATCATGGAAAAAATCTTCCGAAAGAACAATTTGGAAATATTTTCCCTTATATAAATTACAAAACCAGCCATATATATCTGGTATATCAAGTAAGTATAGAAATTGAATTTTCTCTCATGTTGTCTCCCTTTGGTCCAAATAATCATACAGTAGATAACTATCAATTATCAAAACATATAGACAAAAAAGTAATATACAATAAGTTATTCCACAAAAACAACATGAACAAACCACAATGAAACATAGAATACACATTCTGCATTGCCTATTCTTGGATATATATAACTGATAAAGAGACATTGAAAGAAAAATAATTACCCACAAATTTGCTTATAAAATTGCACCGTCATTGATCAAGCAATAGTTTCTAAAACCCAATAAAAAATATTGTTCTCTAATGTTCTAATAACATCAACTATCAGTATTAGTTAGTCCACATGTTTGTCTGTTTGTTTTCATGAATGTCTTCCAAGCATCCACTGCCTTTTCAATCTCATCTTGTTCTAAAATTTTAAAATGTTGTAGTCCAATCAGAAGCTCTTGTCTTGAATTTCCTGCATAGCTATTGGACAGAAATGCTGGCAGTCCTCTGTACCCATCTCCCATTGTATACAGGGGAGGACGAATCATTCCTAATGTCTGAAAATGAATTCTCAATGTATTTATATTATATTGAATAAGCTGTGAAATAGTCCGAGTTAAAAAAATCGAATAATTTTACATAAGAATAATGAGATGCAGTGTGACTGCCAATGAGACAACTATCCTACAAATATTTCTATACAGTTGGCTTGTTGCCCACCGCAGGAAATGAGGAAGTAGAAACTAGTTTTAAAACATCAAATACAAATGGGAAACAAATTAAGATAACTTTTATGATTTGCATATCTACAAATACTTGAATCGTATTGGTCCGTTAGCATTTTTTCCCTTGGATTACACTTTGATAGAGCATGTTGCAGAAACTTCTTTCGTTACCTTCACTGTGATCTTTTCATGCATGATACACATGCAAGGGATCTAGGGGTTTCAAGCTAATAGAGATAGAAAAACCAAATACATAACTGTTATTTCTACTCTTATGCATAACAAAAAGAAATAATGCAATAAATTCGAAAATGTATAGAGTTAAAATAAAATAAAATTCCGTGAAATTTCATGAATAATCTTGTTGTATTAACGTATTGGCAAAAAAAACATGACGTCATATGTATGAAAACTCTCAAGCTGAAGGCAATTCAGTTACATGCACACTTCAAAATCGGATAATATCTCATTAAAATGAAGTTTTTGAGGTAGATGTTATTTCATATTAGATTCTATTGTATTTATCTAACATTTATGGATTTCAAAAAGTCAATATGGCGGCTAACTACTTAGTTACGACATGTCAATTTTCCATATTTGTTGGTACATTTTTTTGGGTAAATAGTAGCCAATGAACAAACAATTGTTAATTGAAAATTGCAAATGTTTTATAATCATAAGGATTAAACACATTTTTTCTAGAGGTTATTGATGTGTTATATATATATATAATGGCACCAGTTTACACATCCATAACCTCTAGAAAAAATGTGTTGAATACCTATAACTTTTCGTGGACTTTCATTAATAATTTTTTTATTTCATCATGGTGAAACTATATATATATATATATATAGTGAGACAATAAATCATTTTTCTATACATGTATGTAAAATTAGTAAAATAATTCTAAATGTGTGTAAAAAATATGCAAAAATTAAAAATTAAATAAAGGTCACTTAATATTTACCTCATTTCCATAATCAGGGGCAGATAAAGTTTTCATTTCAATCTCACTAAAATCGTTTAGAGTTACTTCTTTTCCATAAAAATGCAAAACTAAGTTTTTGCTTTTGTTCACAAAAGACACAACCTGATTACTATCTTGGAGTTTGTGTTTACAAAGGTCAAGGCCAATTTCTTCCTCTAGTTCCCTGTTTACTCCATCCAATGGATTTTCACCTGGATCCACCAATCCACCAGGAAACCCAAGTAAACCATCAAATCTCATTTGCATCTGAAAATAGATGTTAAATGACTTTGTATTAATTCGAAAATATTGAAATATATCTAAAAGTAAATTGAAAAATTTGAATAACTGCCTTAAATTTCAAGCATGAAAAAATCAAACTTAAAGTCTTACCAGGTTTTAGGTACATGTATGTAAAATGCAGAAATAAGAAATAGTGACAAAAATATCAATATGCTCAATATAAAATACTGCAATGAAATGGTTGGTACTCTATTCTAGTATGACACTCTTAGTTCTCTCTGAAAGCAAAGTCATTTCCTTATTCCAGTAAAACATAATACATATATGTATCAATTGAATTTGCAATGTTAGTTGTACTTGGATGATGCTGGAGATCAAAATGGTCATTTTTGCAGGTGATGCTTGCTATAAAATTCATTTAATAAATTGTTGACACAGAGATATGTCTCGCATGTCGGCATAAAATTTAGAAAAGACAATCTGATGGACAGCAACATGATTTACTTATTCAGTCGCACAAAATTATCTAGTAGGCAGGGCCTGAAAATAATTGTCAAACTGATATGTACTGATAGCAATGCAGAAAACTTAACATTGAAAATTGCTAATTAATTCGTAGTCACTGGAGCATGACCTAAGGGACAGGGCCTCCAAATAGTCGTCAAACTGATTTGAACTAATAGTAATGCAACTTCGTACAAACTATAATTGATCTATCACAAGTAGATCTTATCAAACTAACTTAAGCAGATAACTTAACATTTAAAATTGCTAATTAATTCAAAGTCACTGGACCATGTCCTAGGGTGCAGGGCCTCAAAATACTGTAAATTCAGAAATTATTGCGAGGTTTTTATTAATGTGAATAATGCGACGAGGTGAGTAGCGCAATAATAATAACTCGCATTCTGATAGCTGAAACATAGATCTGTATGCAGATTTTTCTAAATCGCAATGATTAAACTCGCATTTTTGTCCATTCTTGAAAAATCGCAATAATAAGTGCTCGCAATAATTTCTGAATTTACAGTAGTCATCAAACTGATATGAACAGATAGTAATGTAACTTCACACAAAATATCATTGATCTATCACAAGTAGATCCTATCAAACTAACTTAAGCAGAAAACTTAACATTGAAAATTGCTAATTAATTCAAAGTTGCTGGACCATGACCTTAGTCTAGGGGGCAGGGCCTTGAAATAGTCGTCAAACTGATATGTACTGATAGTAATGCAACTTTATATCAAATATCAATGATCTATCACAAGTAGTTCCTATCAAACTAACTTAAGCAGAAAACTGTCGCTGCAGTCGAAGCTGGAAAAGCAATCCCTATGTCTCACTTTCCGTGATTTTCGTCACAGGCAAGACAAAAACCTTCAAACTAAGTCTTTTTGCATTGGACACTTTTAAATTGTAATATAGTTGTTTTTTTCAGAACTTTTCTGTTTCATCAAATAATAATGAACATGTGTACTAAGTTTCAAGTTGATTGGACTTCAACTGCATCAAAAACTACCATGACCAAAAACTTTAACCTGAAGCGGGACAGACGGTCGAACGGACACACAGACCTAAAAACATAATGCCCCTAGGAGGGGTATAAAACGGCGACCATGTCTGATGATGTCACATATAAAGAACACAACTTTCTGCAAATCTTTGAAAAGGAAGGATAAAACTTTATTTAGATATCGTCTAAAAATCATTAGAGAAACAGATTCTTCCACTATATAAACTCATGTATTACGATATTTCTCCACACTCAACATTAAATTTTAATTATCTAAAAAACTCTGCAAGCCTCACGCTTTACATATAAAAAATTTAACTGTCTCAAGTGGAGAAATATCGTAACACACTTGATGCAGTGGTGGACTCTATATTTTCCTATTATCATTCAATTTGCAGTAATTCTTTCATGTCAAGCTCTACAAGCTTTACATGCTTTAAGCTTATTTTAACATGGTAAGCATTACATCGGTCGTTACTTGACACCTACATGTAGCTAACACTCAGTGTAAAAAGATATTCAAAAATATAATGATATGAAGGGTTATTTCTTAAGTAAACAGTTCATAGACGGAAGAATTTAAAATTGTTATATGTATATTAGATAAAGCAGCTTACTAAGAATTTTATACCTGTCCAGGAAAAATCAAGATTGGCCTAATCCCCATTAAAATTGAAGACAATACTGTTTTATTGAAACATAGAAGCATCACAACAAAAAGTTACTGATTTCATAGATCAAAAGGGATTTCTGAAGGTATATAACTAAACAAGAATATGTGTAAATTAGATATCATGTCTAGCTCTCACTATTACATTTAAATGTTCATCAGCTAACCACTAAATCAGGGTCAAAACCCTAATTTGGCATATTATAAACAATAGACCACTTTCGAGTTATGTCCTTCACTGGAAAAGTTCGTCAATTATGCGTGCCTTTATGAAGTCATTTATCAGATAGAGGGGATCTCCTGTATCGCTGCACTATTGGAGTTCATCAAGCATTTTCGAGATGGTCATTATCATATGCAGGCTAGTCTAGAAATAATGTTTGTTCCATAGGTACTTAATCACAATTCCCTAATGACAGCAGTGCTGATTATCAATTATAAGAATTTAATTTGCCAAATAATCAGTGCAATATAGCATCATATTTTTTCATCACTAGCTCAACACGGGAAGGAAGAAACAATGCCCCTAAATGCACAAATGATTGTTCACTAAAACCAAAGTTTTTGACGGAAATGCAATGAACTCCAAAGTGGTCTATTCACTTTATAATGAATATGTGTACTTAAGTTTCATGTGAACACAAACTACTTTTCAATCAAAACTTTAACCTGATATGCACTATTACATTTCCATGACCAGTGAACAGAGAACTTAATTTTGCATATATATATGTTAAACATTTTACCATTTCATAATGCACGCCAATTGCTAGTATTTGCAACTGATTTTTGCAGTTTGATCTTATGTTGTGCTGTTACACCACTGTCCTAATTATAAGTTAGGGGGAGAGTTGAGCGCTCACAAACATGTTAACCCTGCCACATTCTTTATGTGCCTGTCCCAAATCAGGAGCCTGTACAATATAGTTCAGGTTGTTGTTGGTTCATGTCTGTCATATTGGTTTTTCATAAAATGTTTCGTGATAAATTAGGTTGTTGGTTTTCTCGTTTGAATTGTTTCACATTTTTCATGTCAGGGCCTTCTATAGCCGACTATACATGTACAGTATGGGTTTTTCTCATTGTTGAAAGCCATACAGTCATGATGGATGCCTATAACTTTTTTTACATCCACTTCATTTGAACTCTGATGGATATTTATCTCATTGGCAATCATACCAGGTATGCTTGTTTTTATACACGTGTACTAATTTTGGGGTTGATGTAACAAACTTCATAAAAACCAAAACTTAAACTTACCTTAAACTAAAACTTCCACCTGAAACAGGATTAATAGACACACAGACCATGCAGACTGGAATACATAATGCCCCTCTACTATTGTAGGTGGGGAATAACAAGTAGGGACAACTGTTAGTTTACTAAATGCTGAATTATGAATGGAATGCAGAACTGAACGACAGACGTCAGTAATACAGCCGTGACAACTTATTGTGAGGGGCATATACAATGTATACATGTAAGCATATCAAATGTAATATCAAAAACGTTTACTTTGATTTTGAAAAGTCTCCAAAACAAGTCATATAAACTTAAATACATTGCACTTACCATTATAGCTGCTCTAGATTTGTATAAATCCCAGAGTACAGTATCATTCCTAGCAAATAACATGGCATGAGAGGCATGTTTAAATGATGAATAGAGTTCTCCTTTTGACTCTTCATAAGAAATTATATCAAAGTCCTCTTCTACATCACCAACTCGTCCATAATGTTCATACTGGGCTAAGTTGCCCCATCCTATATCTGTCATACTATCAAAAAAATTAAAGAAGAAAAATAAAAAGTCTTAATACATGTAGATATCATAATTTATAATCAGCTTTTTCAGAATCTTACTTAAATGTATTTAGATAATATTGTTAAAAACATATAAATGAATATTGTGATGGCGAACAAAGTCCTAAACAATAGAAATTCAAACAATCAGATGACATTATATTAATTTTTGGGCATGAACCAGGAAATTACCCATATCAAATTGATAATACAATAGGCCTGGCCTTAATATTATTGCAGGTTCTACTGCACATGCGGGAAAACCTCCTACCATTACAAGGTCATAACCTTACAAGCATGTCTTCTTTAATTACAGAATCGGAACACGGTATGAAAACAGACTCAGAGTGACCATATTTCTTGAGCTATTCTCCAATTAAGAGTATCAAACTATGGGCAAATAAGTAAAGAATAATTACGTGCACAGAAAATATTTTTTGTGTCAAGATTGTGCTTTTTATTCTTCCGTTACATATTAGGGTAACAAACTTCCAATCGTCAAGGATAGTCTTTTACAAATGTAGATTTTAAAATGGCAAACTAAATGACCCAAAAAAACTGTATATTTAGTCTGTCCCACAAGTAGTCACTTCCTGCAAATCATGCCTTAGTACTAGTGAAGTTTTGGATATATTAACTTGAACTTGATTGAGACGAGAATGCATTATATGATCTTCCCATCTGTGATATTTTGCGGAAAATTTTTGACAACGTAAAGATCTTGGTCTTGATAGGTATATGGTGAAACATACAAGGATATTACTACACCACACATGTGTCAAGTAATTTACTTAAGTGGGACCATCTTTACAATATCACTGAAAGTTTTAGCTGGTTCTTCTGCTGTTTGAATCTTGGTGAAAATATCCAGTGGTAGTAGGTTCCAATCTTTAATTGTGTTTGGTATGAAGCTGAATTTTAATGTCCGATTTTGTTTGCAGTCTCAGGAAATGTAGGCAATGCATGTTCTTGTTTGTCCTAGATGTTTTTTTCAGTTGATCAGATGGTAAGTTGGCTTGACCGTGTAAACCTTTGCAGAAGAGGATAAGTCTGTTTTGGGTTCGACGATCTTTTAGGGATGGTAGTGAAAAAAAGAAAATACATTATGACGCATTTTCCCTGAATTACCACAGTTCAACCCGATAGGTCTTTTCACCACCGAACACCACCGTACACCGCCGAACACCCCAAAAATTTATTTTTTTGTCTTTTAACATTGTAAATGCAACCTTCATATAATATTTAAGTTATTATTTCAACAAATTCATATTAAATAAAAAGATTAAGATATTATTTATCTACATGTACATCGAACAGAAAAGGAGAGTCTATAACACTTCAACTCTGCAAACCACCCGTCATGGACACCACTGAACACCCCAAAAGTTTAATATTTTGTCTTTTAACGTTATAAATGCAGCCTAAATATATTATTTAAGTTATTACTTCAACGAATTCATAATAAATAAAAAGATTAATATATTATTTATCTACATCGAACAGAAAAGGAGAGTCTATTACACTACAACTCTGCAAACCACCCGTCATGGACACCACCGAGTCATTGATGTAATAAATAATTATATGAAAATAGTAGTCACTTGTATTTGTTAGGAAAAAAATATTAACAGAAAGAAAAATCTATACAGAACAAAAAAGGATAGTAAGATAATATGCAATCACAAAATAAAAAGTAATAAATATACACACAGACTGTAATCCGGAAAATAGTGTTGAATCCGGAAACGTTTCTCTTTATATTGATTATCAACTTTAACATGGAAATGATGCACATAAAAATCTAAAAATTGATTAAATTATGCGTAATTTAATTTGTTTTATCGTTTCAGTGTATAATATTACTGTTTTTCTTAGTTAGTGGTTGTTGGTTTTTTTTGGTGTTCGGTGGTGTGCCAATGCGGTGGTGTTCGGTGGTAAAAAGACCCACCCCAGGTCAACCATGGTTGTTCATTCATAAAATCGAAATTGGAAACTGGTCTATTGTTGACATGCTAATCATACCCCACTGCTACTACGTGTAAATTATCATACAAATTAAGACAAAGTATCAGAAAACAGGAGTGAGGAGGTAGATGTCTGATAAATCTGAAAAAGAGCTCATATGTCACAACCCATCGCTGCCAAGATACTGATGAAGTCATTCTGTTCTATATTAATGCACTTGAAATTAATCAAATATCATACACTTTGTGCAAATTAGATGTACTGTGTATTTGTTGTGATTGTATCCGTGTCAATAAAAGGGTGTATTAAAAAGGGGAGCGAAATCTAAAAATAAGCATTAGCTTTAACCTGTTACATAATCTGTATTTTCCGCCTATATCAGGCACACCACCAATGGCGTAGTAGGGATAAATGCTATTTACAAGACAAAATCACATATGATCACATATGAACCTTGTCAAGATCCAAAATAATTAGAATTTTAGAAGAAAAAAAATAACCAAAATGAGTGATAAATACTAACAGGATTATGTACATGAATCCTCTCTAGTCAGTCTAACCTCTGGGTAAAAAGATGAAAACAAAGTCCATGAATGTTCATCGACTATTTTTATTTTTTCGTATTTTATTTCTTAAAGCTAAGACTGGCATATTACCATCAAGGCATGGCTAACAAAGATTCTCTTCATTTGTGTCGTCTGTAGCAAAATCCCGTGTCTTTTTGTGTTGTCCGGAGCAAAATCCCGTGTTATCTTGTGTTGTCTGGAGCAAAATCCCGTGTCTTTTTGTGCTGTCTGGAGCAAAATCCCGTGTCTTTTTGTGCTGTCTGGAGCAAAATCCCGTGTCTTTTTGTGTTGTCTGGAGTAAAATCCCGTGTCTTTTTGTGTTGTCTGTAGCAAAATCCCGTCTAGTAATGCATTCCTACCCCTATCAGGGTTTATGCAGATGTGTCTTTAACATATTTATGTACAACCCACCACCAAGGACAATCCCCAAACTTACTTCTGGGGAGTGTTAGGACACCGAGAAGTCTGTTATTATGAGGGTCTGGATTGGGGGGTCTTTCATTTCTGTATTCCTTAACTTTGACTAATCGAGGACCCCTCGAAGTTGAAACGAACATCCAAAAACAAGGGATATCCCCTTGTTTTAACCTCGATTGTAAATTTGAGAGACAGAATTTTAAAAAATTAAAGCGCAAACTGAAAGCAAGGCCTTCTTCTATATCATTAAATAAAGTCAAAGAATCTAGAAAAGATACAAAAATAGGAAATTAAATAAACTTAGATCTCAAAACACCAAAGAGTGTTGGAAAATTTTGAATCAACGTGAACATTCAAAACATCCGAATATTAATTTTAAGGTTTTTCTCAACTTTTTCAAATGACTGCATGAATTCGGATGACTAAGATCCAATGGACTTGCCAAATAATGATAAAAGTGAAATGAGTGAACTGAATGATAATCTGAAAAGTCCAATTACGAAAGAAGAAATATTAAAATGTATCACTGACAATTTAAAGAATAACAAAGCTTGTGATGATGATGACTTTGTGACTATTTATGAGCATTAAAACTTCGAGCGATTTTTCTATTAATGTTTATGTTGAATTGTTTAACTTGATTTTTAGAACTGGAATAGTACCAGTATCTTAGGTAATTGGAACTATCAAGCCATTTTATAAAAACAGAGGGAGTAGGTTTGGTCTAAAATAACTATCGATCCATTACTATTACATGTAAGCTGTATGGGTAAATGATTTACAGCTATTTTAAGTAATAGACTAGCAAGGTTCTCCGATTAAGTTTTATTACTTGAAGATAACCAAAGTGGGTTTCGAAATAGTTACTCAAAAAGTGATTGTATCTTTACACTTCACTATTTTTTTGAAATTTTGAAATTAAAAAAGAAAAAAAATGTTCAGTGTTTTTGTCGATTTCGAAAAATTATTTGATACAGTGAGGGAGAGATGTTTATGGCATAAGATGCTAGTAGATGGTATCAATGGTTATATGTATAAGATTATTCATAATATGTATGATGATATAAAATAATGCTTGTCATACAATGGTGAGAGATCTGACTATTTTCCAAGCAGCATTGTGGTACGCCAAGGGGAGAACTTATCCCCTTTCCTTATTTCCCCTTTATTGAACGATTTGGAAGTTTTCTTTAATAAAGGGAATTTGGTAGGTTTGAAAAATATATCAGGTGTCCTAGAAGACGAACTAGATATCTATGTTAAACTGTTTGCAATACTATATGAGACGATACTTTGATAATGGCTGAATCAGCCCAGAACTTCAAGTACTACTAGAAAATTTTAATTCATATTGTAATGCTTGAAAAATTTATAAACCTAAATTTAGGCAAGACCAAAATCATGATTTTTTTGTAGTAGTAGACAACCTGTAAATCTTAAATTTAATTTTAGCAACTCTGACTTAGAGATTGTTAAAGAGTTTAATCATCTTCGAATTTATTTTTCTATAAATGGCTCATTTAAAGCAAACAAGAAGCATCTAGCAGACAAAGCTACGCGAGCCATGTATGAAGTTATCAAAAAAGGGAAACAATATGGTTTATCGGTAAGTTGTTAATTAGATTTATTTGATAAATTAGTTAAAACTGTTTTACTTTAAGGCTATGAAATTTGAGGATTTGGAAATAATGAAATATAAAAAAAGAGTTCATTTAAACTTTAAAATTTGTAAACTTCATCTCCATCTAAAATCCTCCATTCTAAATGGTGTATTATATGGAGACCTAGGACGTTATCCTATATATTAGCTCAGATATCAAAGTTCGCATGATTTCTTACTGCATGAGCAAAGTTAATCTTTAGCAAACCCAGTAAAACATCAGCAATAACATATAAATTAATGTTTAGTATAACTCATATTTTATGTTAACTTTAATTGGATGAAATGTATAGAATTTACCCTTAATAAAACAGTCTGGTTGTTCTTATGTATGGTTAACTCAAACTTGTATTAATGAAATTTGGTTAAAACGACAGTTAGAACATCTCTACAAAATCAATTCAAACAAACATGGTATTTAGATATTCAAACGAACTCAAAAACATTCAATCGCCGCCTTTTTAAGGAGTTTTTTGGATTCGAGAAGTATTAAGATGTGTTTTTGGAACCCCGTGACATTTACTACCTCTGCCAATTTAGACTAATCAACCATAAATTACCAATAGAAAGTGTTAGATGAAAAAAAAAATCAGCGAGATAAAAGAATATGCGAACAATGTGATTTAAATTAAAAGATCTCGGAGATGAATTTTAGTATGTGATGAAGTGTAAATTTATGGCTATAGAAAGAAAAAAGTATATTGATATGAGACACATTAATTGTCGACATGCACATCGGGTGCACTTATATTGGTACAGATAATGTTATTTCAATTAATTCTTTAAATTTTACGATAGTTAACTACATTGTAAAGGCCACCGCATATTGATTCACAGTTCTTCGGATTCCCTTCTCTGAAATTTTGAAACTTAAAAAAAAAAGTTTTTTCCTGGAGGCATGCTGAACTATTGTTCCATCTATATTAAATCAATAATTTAAATTTCAAAATGTCATCACTTATCCCACAATTCACAAAATAAGTTTTTGGTGTTAATAAAAAATTATATCTTGCTCCTGAAATAAGGATAATTAAAAACGCACCTTCCACTCAACAAATTTGAGGTATTGCTTGCTGAAATGTTCATTTGAAAAAAAAACAACATTAAAACATTAAATTTTGCTAGCTAGCTTCATTTTTTGTAGATAAAATCCAAAGAACAAGTATTCAATTTGGAGTGACCAAAAGAAACTTCTTTAACAATCAATAAATGTGTTTCGGATGAACCTACTACTTTTGTATTTTACAGCTCATTATTGAAGGCTATACGGTGACCTATAGTTGTTTACATCAACGCTGACCTATAGTTGTTTTGGTCTCTAGTGGATAATACTGTTGTCTCATTGGTAATCATATACCACGTCTCCTGATTTTTATACTAACCTTTTATGAGTTACGTGTAATCAGAACGAAGACGATAAATTCGACACTTTTATTGGGAGACTACCAGGCGCTTTATTAAAGGAAGGAGATGTGATATGATTGCCAATAACACAGTCCAAATGACGTGGTTGCAAGCAATTATATGTCACCGTACGTCCTTCAACAATGAGCTAGAATCACATCGTATAGTCAGCTATGAAAGATCCCGACATGACAAAATGTAAAACAATTAAACGAGAAAACCCACGGTTTTATTAATGACAGAACCAATAAACGAAAAAAAAAAAAATATTACAGACAGCAACCAACGACAACCATTAAATTACCGGCTTCTGACTTGGGACAAACACATACAAAAAAGTGGCGGAGTTAAACATGTTTCTAAGCACTCAACTCTCTCCCAAGTCCGAGATTGCTCTGAGGTCTGACGGTCTTTTTTAAGACTTGCTGGGACTGTGATTGATTGATTGATTGATTGTTGGTTGCTTAACGTCCAGTGACAAATATTTCATGCATGTTCAGGATGTTGCTGGGACTGTGACCCACGGCCTAAGCTAGTCACAGAAGAGGATGTCAGAGCAATCCCGCACTTCCCCCTCTATCCTTGGACAGTGATGTAACAGCAATAATAACAGTTGAACAGGGCTTAAATCATCAGATTGGCACGAGGCACAAATTAAACAACTAACGTAAATATATAAGGCACACAATACTAATCTTAAAGTACTAACATTTACTGAAAGCTAGTTAAAAGCCAGTTACAAATAATAAACAGTGTACGATAAAGAGCTTAAACAAACACAACTACTGCATGACTCTTTGGGGCAAATATCTTAGATATCTACTAGTATTCAAATTAAGGCAGTCCAAATTTCCCGTCGTCTATCCTGTTCAACCAACCTTGCAGGACTTACATATTTGAGTAATTGTAAACTTACATGAAACATTTTCCTCTGAATGAATCAAAACGATCTACAAGATTTAGAATTAGAGTGCCCAGAATTGACATATTTTATAGACCTCTGTTAATTGTTAGAGACTGTGTGTGTCTTTTTTATGTTGGGTTGCTGTCTGCTTGACGTTACCTCATATCTCCCTTTATTCATCTGTGGTGTTTGTGTTATGTGTGTCTTTGTGATGCTTTCTCATTGACGTATACCTATATCTCTTTTTCTCTTTTCTTTTTTTTTTTTTTGGAAAAAAAGAGGGGGGGGGCTCTTTGTGTTTTTATATTAACCATATCTCCTTGTATTCGTATACCTCGTCTATGAAGGCTTTAATTATACGCTGTGTCTTTTATTAAATAGTTCTGTCAAATATTTAATAGGGTTGTATTACAGTAAAGGAGGTGGAAAGTTGATGACCATGGTCACGTACTCTCATATTTCTGACTAAAACATATTTGACTAATTAGCTCAGAAGAAAGCACAAACAAAGCGCTCACACACATGTTTATACCCACCATATTCTTTATGTGCCTGTCCTTAGCCTTCAATCTAGTGGTTGTCGTTGGTTATTGTTTGTCGTGATTATTTTTAGCTAATTGTTATACCGGTAGAACGAATCATGGCAGATCGTTGATTTCCTCTTTTGAATTGTTTCACAATTTGGTATCTGTAGCCCTTTTATAGTTTTTATACGGTAATGTGTTTTTTTTCTCTAATTGTTGAAGGCCACACAGTGACATATAATTGTCCACAACTTTTTGTTTGGTCTTAAAAGATAGTTGTCTCATTAGCAATCATACCATGCACACGTCCTAAATTTAGACACTTTAATTGATCATGACGCCATCAGAGACGGATTTAGAGGGTTTTCCAGGGGGCCCGGGCCCCCCTTTTGTGGGATGAAATTCAAATCACTACCCATCATCTTTCTATTGTCGTTTCATCCAATGTCCCTCTCAAATGTCCCCTCCTCAGAAACAGAGAGACGCACCCCAGTTTCAGCAAGAGCATAATGACTTTACCTGTTACATATTTTCCTGATGATAATATCAAACATTTTTCCAAGTCTACCTTGGGGTATATTAATTGAATGATTGGTTGGTTTTTTTTTATTCAATATTTAATGAGATATGATAACAAATAATAAATAATATAAAAATATCAATATCACAATATTCTGCCCTAATACATGCTGTAAAAATTATAAATAAGTATATCTGTAAATTGATTGAGAAATTAACATCACAAGGTGATCATATACTTTTGCTTACATCAACGTCCTTTTGGTCTCATGTGGATATTTGTTTCGTTAGACATGCCACATCGCCTTATATATATATATTTATATATATATTTAGAAAAATGGGACCACTTTTTATAAATGCATGCTAAAAATCTTGTTTATAGAGGCAACATGATTGTCTTGATGAAGCTTTTCTTTGAATTATTTTTATATAATGAGAAGTAGATAAATTTTAATCAACCACCTAAACAGACCTTCCTCTCCTGCAATACAAGCTTTACATTTTCATTAGTACTTACCATTCAACTCTTAAAAAAAAGAATCATCCGCCGATCACATAACATAAACAATAGTCTGGATTGGGTTTACAGAAAAGAAAGTAATGGACAACGACCACAGAAAAAAGAGACAAACAATAAAAGAATAGCGATAAATAGGCAAACAAATTTAAGAATAGAGAATAATGGAGTACTGCAAAATAAAGAATATAATGGTCAAAATAAATAAAGAACAGAGAAAGATGGCATTAAGAATTAACGAATACAGAAATAAATAAAATGCTCCGCTGGGCGCAGCTTGATACGACCGCAGAGGTCGAACCCTGAACAGTTGGGGCAACTATGGACACAACATTCAAGCTTGATACAGCACTGAATTTGGATTGTGATTAAATATTTGACACAGCACAGGTTTCTGACACAGAATGAATGTGGTCTAAGAACTTAAAAATTTTAAATTGGACATTCACCTATTATGGTCCAATATCCAAAATCTAAATACATGGTTAGATTCAGCATATCAAAGAACCCCAAGAATTCAATTTTTGATGAAACCAAACAAAAAAGTTTTAATTTTGGACCCTTTTGACCTCAATGTGGACAAAGTTGATAACGGGGCCCAAAAAATCAAAAATCTAAATACATGGTTAGATTCAGCATATCAAAGAACCCCATATATTCAATTTTTGTTGAAATCAAACAAAGTTAAATTTTGGACCCCGATTTGGACCAACTTGAAAACTGGGCCCATAATCAAAAATCTAAATACATGTTTAGATTCAGAATATCAAAGAACCCTATAAATTCAATTTTTGTTAAAATCAAACTAAGTTTAATTTTGGACCCTTTGGACCTTAATGTAGACCAATTTGAAAACGGAACCAAAAATTAAGAATCTAAATACACGGTTAGATTCGGCATATCAAAGAACCCCAATAGTTCAATTTTTGATGAAATCAAACAAAGTTAAATTTTGGACCCTTTGGACCTCAATGTGGACCAATTTAAAAACGGGGCCCAAAATCCAAAAACTTAATACACGGTTAGATTCAGCATATTAAAGAACCCCAAGAATTTCAAGAATAAAACCCCATTGAAATTGATCAAGAAATAAGCAATTTATACAAAGTATCTTCTTTTGCACAATACTGTGCAATTGAATATTTCTTGCTATTGCGCAATACTGTACAATTGACAATTTCTTGCTATTGCGCAATATTGTGCTATTGGATATTTCTTGCTATTGCGCAATACTGTGCAATTGAAGATTTCTTGCTATTGCGCAATACTGTGCAATTGAAGATTTCTTGCTATTGTGCAATACTGTGCAATTGAAAATTTCTTGCTATTGCACAATACTTATTATATAATAATTTACACATCCTGTTTGGTGTGTATCTCCTACCATATCATTATTATTTGCTTTTAAATATAAATCAGAAATAACCAACTTAAAATGAAAAATTTTAAAAGAAAAAAAGAAAAAAAAAAGAAACCCCCCCCCCCAAATTTTTTGAACCCCCTTATGATTCATCACCCCAAAACTCAATCCCAGCCTTCCCTTTGTGGTATGGTACCTTGCAGTACAATTTCAGAGAGATCCATACACTTGAACACAAGTTATTGTCTGGAAACTAGAAAAATGCTTATTTTTGGCCCCCTTTTGGCCCCCAATTCCTAAACGTTTCGGGCAATTACCCCCAAACTCAATTCCAGCTTTCCCTTTGTGATATGGAACCTTGTAGTACAATTTCAGAAATATCCAAACACTTACACACAAGTTATTGTCATGAAACTAGAAAAATGCTTGTTTTTTGCACCTTTTTTGGCCCCTAATTTCTAAAATTTTGAGGCAATTACCCCAAAAATCATTTATAGACTTCCCTTTGTGATATGGAACCTTGTGGTACAATGTCAGAGAGATCCATACACTTACACACAAGTTATTGTCTGGAAGTTATAAAAATGCTTATTTTTGGCCCCTTTTTGGCCCCTAATTCCTTAACTGTTGGTACCATAACCCCCAAAATCAATCCCAACCTTCCTTTAGTGGTATTGAACCTTATGGTAAAATTTCATGGAGATCCATTCACTTAAACTAAAGTTAGAGTGCGAAGACCAATGTGTCTTCGGACGACGACGACAACGACAACGACGACGACGACGCCAACGTCATACCAATATACGACCAAAATTTTTTTAATTTTTGCGGTCGTATAAAAACCCCTCATCCAGACCTCATATACTATATGGGTCAGAATATTTGCATGGTGTTTAGTTCAATATTGACCTGAGACTAGAAAAGAAAAAAAAGAGATACAAAAAGGAATGCAATTGAAGGTCAAACAAACAGAAAAGTAAAAATAAAATAATAAAGAAAGACAAATTCTGTTGACGAATACTGAAAAAACGGTGGTTCAAAAAATCCAAACGAAACCGCAAGTTAAAGCTCATTAATAATGTTCTTAAATTGTCTTCGTTATTCCATGCAAGACTGAACTACATCACAATACTTGTTACGTTCAGAGTCAACACTATGTTCTCGCTGTACATATTCACTGGCGCCTTGTACTGTGTTCTCTCGTAAATGTTTATCAAGTAATAATTGTTCCACATGTTCTATACATTGCTGAAAATTAACATATTCACATTTAAGGAATTTCGAAAGTAGAAACAATTCTGAGAAAAATCCACAAATATCTTCCCCTTTTTGAACTCCTCAATGTATATAGTTCAAATATTTTCTTCATCATTCACAAAATTTTTTTCTTTAAATTTGGTGCGTTCGAAGAGCTTTTCTGGATTTAACTTCTTCCGGAAAAAATGAAAGCAACACTTTGTAAATTTCTTTAGGAACGCTCACATCCAAAATTATAAAAGCAAAGTAGGTATATACATGTTTACATAAAAAGTATTTGACCAAACGGACTTATAACGAATAACCAAATCCACCTTCGGTCAATTTTGAACCTTGATTTCTTAATATTTTCTAAACTCACCCACGGATCACTATGTACATTTAAGTTATCTACCCATATGAAAAAAAATATGCAAAAAGATGATAAGAAGTGTCATACTTTTGGGTCATAAAACTACAAAGTCACACATTTAGATCAGAGACTACAATTTAAGTAATACCTTTGGATTAGAGAATACAAAACCATTAACGCCATGTTCTACGATATCTTTATTGCCATCAATATCACGTACAATTACAGGTACTTTCAACATCATTGCCTGAGAATAACAAATTAATTAAATCATTATTTAAACAAAATGTACATTTGTATATAGAACTGTTTCGAGATACATTGAGTGCTTTAAAGGAAAATATACGGGCATTAAGTACTATAGGCCTAGACATTGTCGAAGTATTGCATGCTTGGTTTGTAGAAACATACCCTATCGGTTTTTGTTATAAAAAACAACAACCCAGTCAACAGACTAACAGTGGGCCAACGTTGGCAAATTGTCGGTCCGTTGGTCGACCGTTGGTGTTGGCTGCACAACATTGGCCCAACGTTGGCAAATTGTCGGTCCGTTGGTCGAACGTTGATGTTGGCTGCACAACATTGGCCCAACGATGGCAAATTGTCGGTCCGTTGGTCGCACATTGGTGTTGGCTGCACAACATTGGCCTAACGTTGGCCTGCTGTTGTAAATCCATATTATTATCTCATGTTGGTTAAAAATAATCGGGCCAACGTTGGCATTATGTTAGTAGCAACATAGGGCCGATATGAAATTTTGTAAATAAAAATTGATTATGAAATATTTTACACTTTATTTCTCTTGGGAGGCGGATAATTGCGATTGCTGCATGCTTTATGAAAACTTAATATTATACCGAAAGTGTTCATCAACTGAAATTACATTTACAACTCTATGTTGGGCAAATGCTGGGCTAATGTTGATCCTATATTATACATTATATATAAGCCAGGTAATATTTATTCTGGAATATCATTACTGTAATAAAAAAATGTATATCGTAAACATATAGATTGCCTGGTTAAAAGTTTAAATGTATTGCAATAATTATTTATTATAACCTTTTTCATTAAACTTTGTGAAACATAATAATTTAGCAGTTATATACAGAGTGATATTTGATACAGCCAGTATGTTAATCAAGCACATTCTGATAAGGTTGACCATATGTTAGACACATTTCAAAGATAGTTGCTATGGTAATTAAGTTTATAGGAAATCTGAATGTAATGGGATGGTCACTTTTGTGGTTATTTCCTGTTGTGTATTTGAAAGAAAGCAGTGAAATGAAGAAAAGACAGAGAAAAAATCTTATCATCTGAGGTTCAAAGAGTAAGAAATTAACATGTAAGTTGTAACTTTAAAAATTCTGTTTTATATACGATTATGAATTGACAAATACAATAATTATGTTTTTTTTTAATCTGAGGGATGTTGTTCAAAATTAAAACATATAATTTTTATCATTTTATAATGTTGATCTTGAAGTTTATATGTTTTGGGCGAAATATTTTCTAGATTTTGTTTAAATCATTTCAATCCTAAATATTTGAAATATTTGCCACTGAACATTAGTATCATCAAACAAATTGTAAATTACCAATATTTTAATATTTTATTTCTGAAATCTATTACGATTGCATTTATTACCATTATTAATTGAAAAATCTGTCTTAAGATGCACCTTGTTCCGTAATGTTTCAGAAATGTGGTATAATGATTTCTACATTTTTGTACTTCATAGAAATATAAATGAATTTGTTAGTTTTCTTATTTCTAAATTGCATGCAAACATATACGATATATTTGTGAAACCTGATCATATACACACTTGCATGTGTAACAGTGTTTTAGATATCAAATAGAGTATTTATTTCTTAATCTTATTAAATTCATTGCAAGAATGTTGTAACTTATATATAATTATACAGACTTGACTGAATTTAGTTTTTTGTCCTCAGCAAAACTTTTGATAAACAAAACCGATATTTGAATAGTTTGTAGGAGTAAATATCAGTCACAAAAAGCTGACGCTTGAAATATAAATAAAGGGGGGGGGGGGGGGGGGGGGGGGGGGGGGGGGGGGGAGTGTAAAAAAAAGACATTACCACACATAAGGATATTTATAAAAGAAAAAGACTATAAAGATTATTGTCCAAATTACTTGAAGTAGCTTTTCTTTTTAATATACAATTTTACATTTTAATATAAATTTATAGGTCAGGTATTTGAGTACTACAGAAGACAAAAATTAATCAGAGTGCAAAAGGAATAATACAGAGCTAGGAATAATAGAAATTATTGACAACATCCGGGCTAGAAAATGCATGGGAATGGAGATGGGGAAAAATGCATTCTACCATTTGATAGCCCAGAATGAATAACTTTTAGAAAGTAAGTTAACATAATAGCAATCCTTTATGCTACATCAGATTCGAATTTCATATGCAGATATATATGCATCAAATGTTTAATACTACCATGAATGCTAGTGTATTTAGACTGACCTTGTATTTTTTTTCAACTAGTTTTATTTATTTACTTTAAACGTATTTTGCCAAAGTTTCCTGTATCCAATTCTACACTCAATTGTCCTGCTTAACCTAACTAGCGAGGTGAAGTCTAACCATTATCGTAAAGTATGAAATATGCCTTTTGCCTTGATCTGTATAGGCTAGGGAAAATATTTAAAAAAAAGAGTATTTTTTCTAACTATTGTAATGTGCCAGAACACCGGAAACAATGTATTTTTTTTCTTCTTTGTTTATTTTTTTAGGAGAATTTAATATATTCTAAATATACATACATTGAGTACTCATTTATTCATTACTTTATTACAGGGGACAGTGAAATAACTTTTATGAAGATAATGCTAAACTGGATAAAGAATTTAACATAAGATGGAGCCAGAAATAGTGACAAAATAAAGCGTAGCAGAAAACAAAAGGAATACTCTTGTGAATAAAAACCATGTTGGAATACAGAACTAGAAAAATAACTGTATAAAATGAATTATCAATGCCTTCATACAGAGCTTGGATATTGCAACATAAGCTGTAATGATATTATACAAATAGGATATTAAATGAATTATCATTCTAGATCTGATTTAGCAACGTATAGATACAAACAAGTTTTTAATAATAAATTATGTTTAATCATACCTTTGTATTTACATTATTTAAGAAAAATAGGTAACATGGATAGGTTGATTGAATTCATTCAAATATGGGTAAAATTCAGAAGTACAATTCCATGAGAGAGATTGATTGGTTGTTGGTTACTGAAACGTTCATTGGCAAATATTTCATGCATGTTCAGGAATATGGAGAGAAAGTGGCAAAATACAAAATTTTCGGGTAGAATGTCAGACAAAACGTGGTATAGTGGATCTGTAAAACGCAATAATTGCAACATTTTCAAAAAGTAATACTTTCGCCATTTTGAACTGATGTAAGAACCAGGAATTATTGCACTTGTTGCCTGGAAGGGATTTTAGTATCCTTCATATGGATAAAAAAGTTTACAGATTGAACCAACGCAGTGCCAACATTTGTTAACAGTTTTTATTACTACGTTGGCCCAACGTTTGTTCAACATCGGCAAGTATTATTCCATCATTGGACCAACGTTGGGCCAATGTATTGTATAAAACATTAAAACGTTGTGCCAATGTTTAGCCATCACGTTGGGCCAACGTAGGGCCACTTTGCACTTATACATTGGGCCAACGTTTAAAAACAACGTTGGGCCAATGCATGTAGGTACGTTAGGCCAACGTTGTGCCAACGTAACAATGTTGTCTGGGAAGCTGCTAAAAAAAAATACAACCAAAATATAATACAAAAAGAAGAAAATACCATTTTTTGGTCACCGAACTGTTTCCTGTGACCCCCCTCCCCCCTTCCCACAATAACTCTGTTTTAATAGTAATGATGGAATAAAAGTGCGATTTCTAATTCTGGGTTGCCACTATGACTTTGTGTGTTTATAAAAATTATGTTTATTCCTCTATTGTAAACTAAGGGAGCTACCATTTGATTTCTATGGGGGGGGGGGGGGGGGGATGGCTAGGATGAAATTTGAAAAAAATAGGCAGGACAGGAGTTTTGAGTAAAAAAAAAGGCAGGATGAGCAACTTGGTAAAAAAAAAAAGGCAGGATGACAATTTGTGTAAAAAAATTCAGAATAAACTAGTAAAAAAAAAGGCAGGACCGAATAGAGTAAAAAATAAAAAGGCAGGACAGAGATTACAACTAAAATAAAAAGCAGTACAACATTTTTCATCCTAGCCCCCCCATAAAAATCAAATGGTAGCTCCCTAATCTTTCATGCAGTTTCAAATCAGGCTTTTTAACTTGATAAGAAATTTCTTTAGGAAATTTAAAAACTGAAGCCATATAATGGAGAAAAATTCTTTCTTATTTCGACCAAGACATTGTACAATCAAAATTCACAATGAAACCAATTTATTCAGCATTGCACAACTTAACTGTTTTTTAAGGAAAATGATTTCAAAATTTGAGTAGACGATGGAGGATACGAAAAGTTAACTTTCAAAACATCTTTGACTCTACCAACATCTTTTCCTGGATGATAAATCCCCTCATAATAGAGGAAATGTGTATACATGTATACGTATTTGGAGCTGGAACTTTAAGGGAGTGACATGTAGCTTCAAAAGGAAACAGTCATTACAAAACACACGATGTACTTCCAACACTTACTTCTAAAATCGCCAGAGCCATTCCTTCACTATTTGAGCAGTTTATATATGCCAAACTTTGTTGAATGGCAGAGTGGGCATCTATCAGAGGTAATCCTGGTATAAATATAACTCCTGGAAGACTATTGAAAAATAACATACAGTATTAAGTCTGACGATCATTAATATTTCTATTAAGTATTCATTAATTTACAGGTCTGAGGTGCAATGTTGTTGTTACAGTAATTACTCGGATGAATGGTTCTGTGCATCTATGAAGTGGCGGCGGAACATACCTGTACTCTTCCGTTGCAACATGATAAAAGAAGGTTTTTAATGCAGAATAAAATAGACATCATTGAGATGGGAGCCATCTCTGTGGGCCCCGCTGACCTTGAACTTTGACCTAGGAAGATGTACAAACATTATGACACACCCTCTGGTGTGTCAAGTATAACGTATGAAATTATAACGGTTCTCTAGATATATAGCGGACACAATTTGTTACGGACGGACGGACGGATAGACTGGTCACTATAGGGCGACCCGCCACTAGGCGGGGCCCTAATAAGAGTACACACGGACAGGCAGACCCTTAAAAACTTTATACTTTGGTACGAAATTATGTAGAAAAATATTCTGATAATAAAGTATTGATAAAATCTTTAGATAGAAGTCATAATAAAAAAAATCATTCCATAATCCTGGTATGATAGAATCGAGTCTTAACCCAGCCGCATTGTTGCGCCTGTGCCAAGTCAGGAGCCTCTGGCCTTTGTTAGTCTTGTATGTTTTTTTAATTTTGGGTCATTTATATGTTTCGGAGTTTAGTGTGACGTTCATTTTCACTGAACTAGTACACATTTTTGTTTAGGGGCCATCTGAAGCCCGCCTACGAGTGCGGGATTTTCTCGCTGTGTTGAAGACCCATTGGTGGCCTTGTGCTGTTTTCTGCTCTTTAGTCGGGTTGTTGTCTCTTTGACACATTCCCTGTTTCCATTCTTAATTTTATTCTAAAACTTGATAGTGTGTGAAGAAAAATGCATATATAATGTAAAGCCCTTCAATGATGTGCACCGTAATCGTCTAAATCTTTGTATCATTTCTGTATTTCATAGTGCAATTGTCGGGCATTTGATGGCAATGTTTGATAGATTTCTTTACCCGATATAATTCATAATTTGTTGATATTAACTCGCAGCTGTGCACATATGTATAACGTGATGGACATCTAGCAAATGATTCTTACAGTGAGATGAGGGGTTTTGTTTCATGTTGAAGGACTCACTGTGACTGTATTACATGAAGAATATAAAACCGCCGTTCCTCTGTTTTAAGTTTGTATTTACAAGTACATGTTGTTATTTTGTGTATTGAAATGATAAAAAAATCCTTTCTTTCTATATAGTTAACATAAATTACCTATCAATTTTCGTTCTGAACAACTTTCCATATTCTTCATCAACCTGGTTAGATTAAAAGGTAAATATCAGCTTTCGTAATATTTTGCTGTAAATAAACTCATCATAGATACCAGGTTAAAAATCGTATTTCGTCTACTAAAGACTCATCAGTGACGCTCGAATCCAAAAAGTTAAAAAGGCCAAATACGTAAAGTACGAAGTTTAAGATCATTGAGGACCCAAAATTCCGAAAGGTTTTGCCAAATACAGGTATGGTAATATATTCCTTGCATAGAAAACCTTAGTTTTCCGAAAAATTTAAAGTTTTATAAACAGTTAATTTATAATTATGACCATATCAATGATAATTCATGTCAACACGGAATTAGTGACTTCTGGGCTGCAAAATATCCTTTGAATTTTTAACTAGTCAAATCTAGAGACATGTTTTTGGTAAATCTAATTCTATCAAACGGTTATCATCAGAGACATACATACATAAATATGTATATATAAATAAGAAGATGTGGTATGAGTGCCAATGAGACAGCTATCCATCCAAGTCACAATGTGTAAAAAGTAAATAATTATAGGTCAAAGTACGGTATACATGTCTCTGTTATCATAATGGTATAAAATGATAAAACAGAAAGACGAGAGTGTCATATACTGGTGCACTTGAACCTGCAGACTATTATTATTTATCATGCTATAAGTGCAATCGATCTTAATTTGGTTTTTAGGACATTCCACATGCGCTTAATATGGTTGGCTGATGGACATCATTATTCTATGTACGAAAATCGACAAATATTAACAAGAAACCTCCCTGTCCGATATTGTGATTTTTTTATAATTCATTCAAGCAGAACAGTGAAACAAACAAACAAATCAACTAGATTTGGGCTTATTTCCATATACAAGAAACAGGTCAAATGCTAATGAAGAACAACTGTCTAAAACAGACAGATGTCAAGCACCAAGAGATGACGAAAGTTCATCTTAAAAGATCAAAAGAACTACTACGATTTTTCCATCATGGTAAATCAACCAACATATTCGTAAGAGATCTTAAGAGAACCAATTTTTGAAGAGCTTAGGTAAAATGGTATAATTTCAACTGAAAGACATTGAAAGAACTAATGTCTCGTTTAAGATTTCAGTTCTGTGTATAAAAAGAGTCTTTATATTTTGTCAGAATAAAGGAGAGAGAAGATACAAGGGAGACAATAAAACCATAAGCCGAACAAACACACACACATTTATGTTCAAATGAAAAACGACGAAATGACCAGCACTACAAAGAAAACTATATATTGAAAAGTAAAATCACAAAAATACTGAACTCCGAGGAAAATTCAAAAAGGAAAGTCCCCAATAAAATGGCAAAATCAAAAGTTTAAACACATCAAACGAATGGATAACAACTGTCATATTTCTGACTTGGTACAGGCATTTTCTTATGTAGAAAATGGTGGATTGAACCTGGTTTTAAAGCTAGCTAAACCTCTCACTTGTATTGAGCAACACTCAGCTGAGAATTAATAAAATAGTCTGGGGTTAAGAGTGTAATAGAAAGCATCTTTTACTTGTAATTTTTTTGATCATTTAAACAATAAATCTTACCACTTGTCCACAACTCCACCGAAAGCCAGAAGAGTTCCTTTTCCACCAGTTTCAGTGGTCGTGTGGCTCATGGCAAGTAAATATTTATCATTTATGATTTATCATTTGGTGGTGTCACAATCGAAGGAAAGAAGACATGATTGTGGCTTTGACAATTGAAACATGTCCGTGGTTATATGTGACACAAATATTACATAAAGATAAAAAAAAAGTGTCTCCCACTGATTTTTAGAAGCTACACGACAGCAAGGATTTGTATAGTCTCACTATACAAATCCTTAACGACAGTAATTTTTCATCCAGCAGACCATAACACACAATGAACTATTATTACCATTTTTAAAATTGTCAGCTGAGAATTAATAAAATAGTCTGGGGTTAAGAGTGTAATAAAAAGCATCTTTTACTTGTAAATTTTTTGATCATTTAAACAATAAATCTTACCACTTGTCCACAAATAACATAAATGATATTTTGTCGTCTCTCGTGTAACTCTAAAAAGAAAATTACATTATGTTATTCAAATTGGCAAACTGTATAAAATCAAACAATAGTAAAGTGATTAGTATAAACCTGCTGCATTTTTATGCACCTGTCCTAAGTCAGGAGCTTGTTGTTCAGTGGTTGTCGTTTGTTGGTGTGGTTCATAGGTGTTTCTCGTTTCTCGTTTTTTATATAGATTAAACCGTTGGTTTCCTGTTTGAATTGTTTTACACTAGTCATTTTGAAGCCCTTTATAGCTTGCTGTTCGGTGTGAGCCAAGGCTCCGTGTTGAAGGCCGTACTTTGACCTATATTTGTTAACTTTTTATACATTGTGACTTGGATGGAGAGTTGTCTCATTGGCACTCATACCACATCTTCTTATTTATATCCATACAAAAATGTTTGAACTAAAATCTATTTAAATATATAAAAATGCTGCCCTTTTGTCATTGAAAAAAATGGTCATTACATTCTAAGCATTTATATGTCTTTAATGTGAACTGTCTGTTACAATCTATATCAAACTTGAATGGGTGTTCTTAATGCAATTGGAAAAAAAAACAACTTACTTGAAAATTCTTCCACTAGATACAAAGGATTCTTTACAGGTCGAATACTCCCGACACATATACATATTGACATGTCAGTTGTATAAACGTCCGAGTGGTGCTGGTGTATATAGCCAGCCAATGAAAACTTGGACGGACATGTTTGTACTCCTAAAATACATTCATACATGAAAAAATTACATACACAGGTTTTATGTTTATATTGAATATACACCAACGGGATCGATTCCCGGCCAGGTCAAAAGAGAGACTTCGTTAAAAATTTGGCATTCAGAAGCAATAAAAAGAATGGGTTGACTTGGAAGCAGAACAATGGTTCGGATAGGGTGACACATTTTCCTGCTGATGGTTATATTGTTAAATATCGGCCAAGCGTGTTGGTCTTGTACTTAGCGGAATTCATATCACATTAACATTTTATTTACGTCCTGATATGCATCTACTATTTGCCGCTGAACGTTAGACAGTAATAGTATTACAGTTACTGTAATACATCATCATCATCATACTTTTTATTGAAATAAAACCATTATAACGATATGAAATAAAAATATTTGCAGTCTATGTACAAAAAACAGGAAGGTAATTTTTCTCTATTCTTTATATTTTTTGCCCATTATTCCCTATTCTTTATATTTTAGCACCCCATTATTCTCTATTCTTTATTTTTTCTCCCCTATTTTTCTCTATTCTTTATGTATTTTGCCATTTATTCTTCATATTTTGTCCTTATTCTCTATCCTGTATACCCCATCCAGACCCTCATATATATATGTACTGGATATTTCTTTAGGCTGAGGCATTACCTTGTTTAATTTCAAATATCTTGTTCTGTGGCATTTCCGGCTACAAAAAAAAATATTCAAAATTGTATGTGATAAAATCCATTTAGGATTGATAATGCTTTATCTTTTTTTTTGTCCAACTGCATTTCCGACTTCAGTATTTGTTTTTTTTTTTAAATTTCAATTAAATCAAAACCACATATTATATCAAAACTGACTTTCAACTATGTGTTAAGCATTTTTTTTTTAAATTGGGCATACAAATATTTAATTTTCAAAGTGAAAATGTAAAGAAAATGCTATCAGATCAGAAGTACATACAAAACTAATGAGTGTCCATGAAATTAATGAAAAATGTACTATAGAGATTTATGATAAACAGTTAAGTTACCCATAGCTCTTGTACTTTCTGCCGAAGACCGTTGCTAAAAACTATGATTTTCCTGGAAAAAAAGAAGGAAAGAAGTTGAATAACTTAATAAACAAATAATCTTTAAATCATAACAGATTTTTATGCACGGAAACAAAACAGAATTCAGTTCATTTTCCGTGTATGCACTTATACTTATAGTTTCAATGTTAGAAGTCAATGGAATGTTTAATATGAACAATAAACAAGCTGTCTAAAATAATATTGTTGCTTTGTAACAACTAATAAATAAAACATACTTCCTAGACTAAAACGGTTTTCGATAATGTTTGGTTTTAAAACCTTCCACATTTTGTTGTCGTACAAAATGTTCAGGATCATTTACAAATAATAAATAACAGAGGAGACATATTTCCACCTTGCCTTCAATTAAGATGCACAAACCTGGAAGATACAACTGATTGTGTCATTACAGTCATTTTTTCTTGATTTCTGTAATCTTCATTTACATCTGTTCCACCAATTATCAATATGTAATTCATTTTTGAATCTGAATAAAAAGTTAAATGGCTCATTTCAAATTCCAAACTAAACCGCTAGTAATAAAAACTTGTATTTTGCAGATTATTTGGTATATGTTTTTTTGTCAATAGAAACATTTAAAAATTAAATTTTATCTGCATTTAACTTTGTTGACAACAAGGCTCAAATTCTTTACACAGATATTGTCAAAATACACAATGCAATGTATTATATTGATTGTTGTTTGCTTAATCATCGACCTCCAAACACAGGCACTTGTCTCAGAAAAAAATTCTTTATACCTTATGTTATATTAAGGTATATAGGAAAACAAATTTCTGAGACAAGTGCCTGTGCCTCCAAATATAGGAATGTCAAAATCTTATGATTTGATTACGGAAATCCCAAAACTGTGTGGATCAAAAACAAAATAGAAAGCGCACAATGGCATTATATGATTTGGATTCTAAGAAAGTTTCAATAAGTTATAATAAGGAGTTTAGGAGGAGTCACGAGTACAAAGATGGTACCCACAGGTGAAGCAACGGCAAAGTCCGCGAATTTGTATAGGGAACCCCCAAAATACTTCGAAAACAAAAAATAGACGAACAATAGCTTTATACAAGTGAAGATTCTGAAAAAAAGTTTCATTTAATTTTGATTAGGGGTTTAGTATGAGAAGCGGATACAAATAAGTACTATAGTGTCAGGATATGCCAAGTCCATGCTACGGCAAAGTAAACCACTAAATTATTGAGATGGAAATAGGAGGCGCAAAAATACATCATGTAAGTAAGATTTTGTAAAAGATTCGAAAAATTATGTCAAGCGTTTCTGGAGCTTTGCGAAAACAAAAAAGGACGGACGGACAAAGGAGGAACGAACACCAACACATCACTATTTACCTCCACTTACAGAAAGCCGGGGTACAATAAAAAGTCAAATGATTGAATAGACCTTATCGCTATTTTTGAATCTGCGACACTTGACCCGAGAATCTGAAACACTTGAACTATTGACGTCATACAACAATCACTTTCCTTTGTGGCGTCAGAAATTTTCTATTGTGACATCTAAATTTTACGTGTACCTTCGTGATGTCAAATAATAGCGTACAAATAGCGATAATGTGAGAGACAATTTTCCATCAAAGACTAAAAGATAAGGATGGAAATAACTACAGATCACCGTATGACCTTCAACATGGGCAAAATACCTTGTAGTAAGCTATAAAAGGTATGGAGAAAACAATGCGAAACAACCTGTACGAACTGTGACGCCCGTATATGACACGGAAACCAGGCGTAAAAATCATACTTTATCTAGGCGTCATTGCAGTGTTTAAGGAATGCATGTCCAGGCGTCAACCAGGCGGAAACCAAGCGTAACTGAGGCGGAAACCAGGCGTAAAATTAGGCGTAATATTTAAATGAGTACGCCTGGTCCAGAGAAAACCAGGCGTAATATGCAAATGAGTACGCCTGGTCAATAAATACACCAGGCGTAATATCCTTACATAATACTACACTTATTTCAAATCAGTGTATTACCCTAGCTGTGTACTTTTGTGTATTTAATACAAACTTCTGTACTGTTGCTTTAATTTCTCATTATTTGACATAAAACTGGAAATATTAACCATTGAAGAAGCTAATATATAAATAAATACATTTTAGACAGACACTGGCTCAAATAAGTTTAAGTTTAAATAAGAATTATGACAATTAATTTTTCTTGAAATAAAACTTCTGCATTTTGATTAACTAAGTTTTTTATAAATTAATGTCCTTTAAAATATAAATGATAATACTGCAATTTAACTTCATGTAAAAGATTTTAATGTTATTATCCAAGGATAAAGGTTTTGGGATTTCAAAATTACTGTTAGAACTTAAAACTTAATAACTTGGGTAATATACTCACATAATTATTATTTACCATGTATTACTTTCCATTTTTTCACAATTTTTATTAATCAATTTGATTCCATATTTCCAAATTCTTCCAAAAAGCACAAAACAAGCTAATTATCCCTGAATGTATGAAGCTGCATTAAGTCCAACTCTTGCAAACTAAAACCAAAGAGCCAAATTTTGAAAAAAAATTCCCATGATCCTTTAAACAAAGCATTATGGGTATTATGATTTACCCCATACCAACAGTTTTACGCCCGTAAGAAAATTTACGCCTTGCTTATTTCAATTTACGCCAGGTTTACCACTTTTTTCTACGCCCGTAAGGACTACAAATTTACGTTTCCTGCTCCCTTACGCCTGGATCTAGACACGTAACTACCACTTACGCCTGGTTTACGCCTTATTTCCAGGCGTAATACGCCTTATAATTTCATACGGGAACAAAAAAAAGAAAAACCAATGGCTTGATTTTTAAATAACATTAAAGGAAAACAAAATACAGAAAGTAGAGTTTTGAGTTTATTTAGATCCTTACTACCATACTAGGAAAGTTGATTTTGGAGCGTTATATAGGAAAACAACGGAACAACAGAAACACTGAACTGCTACAAAAACAAACGCCAACATACATACATAGAAACGGACTTGTTTTCCATCCTTAAGTTATGTATCTGTAGTTGATAACTTACAATTTCCAAGACTAACATCCGATATTGTGTTGTATTATTAAATAAGTGTGCGACAATGAATAAAGAGCATATTATTTACTGTATATTACTGCAACAGTTCAAATATATACTCACCTTGAAGCAACTTGCCAGAGCGAAATGCATGAAGCCCTATAATTAATTTAATGCTGTTTGCTTTCACATAGCTCTTCAAATCGCCTTCATCGTTAAACTCTTCTGGTGACGTCAGAGTGCATTTATAGTCCACATCCGACAAATATGTTCTGCAATAATATAATAGAGTGTTAGTATAATCGACAGGAGACAAATACGAGCAGCTAGATATCAGAATATAAATAATTTAAAGCGTGATTCAAGCAAACTCACATCCTTCAAATAGCTAACAGTGTGCATTATTTTCGATTGACAATTTTTTCTACTTGTTAATACGGTCTGCAATAAACAGATCTATACAAATGTACATTCTACAAGATAACATAACGCAACATAAGTCTGCATCAGACATCAAAGTTTAAATATTATCTGAATGATATGTATAATTACATTATTAAGAAACTGAACATTGACAGATTTAAAAAAATGAAAACAACTCTTTATAAAAGTCATGCTTCCGAAGCGCTTTCCTGGGTTTACATTCATCAGGAACGCTCAAAACCGAATATTTAAAGCCAAGAATGTATAAGAAGGGAAACAGTTGAAGAGATATATATGCATGTATGTATATGACCAAAAAGGACATAAAAATAATAACCAATATAAAAATAAGATGATGTAGTATGATTGACAATGAGACAACTCTCCACAAGAGACCAAACAACTATAGGTTACCGTACGGCCTTCAAAACTGAGTAAAACCCATACCGCATAGTCAGCTATAAAAGACCCCGAAATGACAAATGTAAAAAATTCAAACGAGAAAACTAACGGCCTGATTTATGAACAAAATAATGAACGAAAAACAAATATGATACACAGAAACAGACCACAACCACTGAATTACAGGCTTCTGACTTGGGACAGGCACATACAGAATGTGGCGGGGTTAAACTAGTTTGAAGGCGCTAACCCTCCCACTAACCTGGGACAGTGGTGTAACAGTACAACATAAGAACAAACCATAAAAATCTGTTGAAAAGGGCTTAGCTCATCAGATAGATACAAAGAAGACATATGAGGCCAACTTAACTTTTTTAAAAACGTCAAAATGTATCAATACCCTACATTGAGCCAATAGAGTAACATTGACTTCCGTCTGGGCTGTACCAAACACCAGCAGTACCAGATAAAATTTAGTATTGTAAGGTAGATCGGGGATTTTTCACCATCTAGATGCGGAAAAATAGCAGAAAACAATATGTACAGATCTAATTTCTTTAATGAAGTATGGAAATTTTGAGAAAGGAATGAAATTCATTTGAAAGTTTGTTTATCTTCATATTGTCTTAATGTTGTGACTTTTTTCAAATACAGATTCTTTTTATCTTATTCAAAGGAGAGGGTCCGGTAGACTAATTTTGGCCTAAAATTTCAAGAACATCTGATGGAAGATCAATTAATTTATGTAAAAGATTTAAACTGATGTGGTCAATAAAGACGCTCAAATTCAAGCTTAAATATTAAGACTGAACACAAGTGCGGCCACTTCCATTTTAGACAAAAACCGTCTAATAATTAGCACAAATGGGTCAATATCCCTTATGCGTCTCAAATTGAGGAACACAAAAGTTGTGCGTAAACAAAAAATCTCTGTGTAGTGATATTGGACATGTTTCTATTTTTAACAAGTGACTGAGCTTAACCATTTGTGTTGATTTGAAAAGTAAAGGACCATAAAATAAATGTGTAAAAACTATGCAATTATTAAATGTATGCAAAGTATTAAATTTTCAAAGAACTTATTGTGTGAAAAAAGGGATTTTTTACCACCAAGAGCCGCATCACAAAAGGATTTTCGGGGTGTGCTAATTTACGGAAAAAAGAATCACACTTCGTACCCCGAAAATTTAACCACATATGTGAAAATGTTTCAGCTTCGAAATGAGCCATCATGCATATCCAAGTTTACGATATGGACTGTGCTACAGAGGAAAACATTACCATTACCGCCTGTGTAAAATCAATTACGCATATTGCCCCAAATGCTAAAATTGTGAGGATTTCAGTAATTTTGAAGAAATTAATGATCCTAGTACCTGGTGCCTGTGCATTGCATTGTAAAAAAAAACCACCCATATTTATTTAACAAAAGTATTCTTCTTTCCAAAAATAGTTAAAAATTTACATTTTTAACAAATTTGTAAAAATGCTATATTTTTGGGGCCAAAAAGACGCATTACCGGACTTACTCCTTTGTCTCAACTTAACCACGTAGGGGAGATAACTGATAATTTTAATTTATACAGGAATTAATAGTAAATTTAAATTATTTTTTTTTTTGTAGAAAGAGAACAAATAGGATGACCCAAGTTTGTTCATTCTGAAAACACATTATAAATCTCTTCTTAAACTTACTTTTAGAATTCTTTTATTTAGTTTTCTTTCGGCTATTCACACAAAAGTGGGTTATCCGTGTACACTATATACATGATATACCTAATCTACTAATTTTACACATCCATGTATCTTGAAGCTAATGTCTTTGACAAATATGTTTTATTATATTTTTGAAATTTACATAAAAAAATTGAAATTCTATCATTTTATTTAGCCATCCCCCCTTTTTCCCCCATGCAACCTGCCAATCAATATACCTTATTCTCTCAATTGTATGCAGGTTCCCACTTCCTTTCTGAAGATGTGATATCAACAGTATATTCATGGTGGCTTTTGATCTACAATAAATTAGAGGCAGATATTCTTTCAATTTTCTGAGGCTCATGAAAGTGGATAGAGGGGAGCTTATGTCATGTATGTTAAACAAAGAACAGCAAATTGTCATGCATAAGTTTAAGTCATTAAAATTGACATACTCTGTACTCCACAACAGGTAACGACAACACTTCAATTTCCTGGGTTAGAGTGTATCTTTGAGTATATATTTGTAAATCTCTTTCTATTAGCCATCACAATACGGAACTTATCTATTTTCTGTCGAATTGAGGCCTGTTAATACACTGCATACACATACAACATGTACAACATGTACAATATGTGTTTGACATTATAAATATTTCAACTAATATGTATAAGTTACTTATGGAAACGCTGTAATTATTATAACAATATCAAAATGAATATCTGTGGATTTGATAACAATGGCAGCAGGTCAAGAGAGATAACAATATTGCATGACCTAGTCTGGCCATACATGACCATAATGACGGAACACCAAAAATTATTGTACTTATTCACATACTTCATTGTATTCTTACCAGTCACACGTATTTATCCATACTGTTTTTGTTCGTCCCACTTAAAGAATATAATGGATACTGGGTTACATGAGACAGAGTCCTCCAAAGTTGTTGCGGTAAACATTGAAAACGAAAGTGAAACTAACCGGAAACGCCCACTACCTACATAACATCTAAATAAAAGACGGACATTTTCTTTTAGCTTCCGGAGGCTTGACAGTTGGTTTAATAACAATTTAACTTTTTGATTGAAGTTCATGTGGTGTGATTTAAATGTATTGAATTAGGCGTGGCGAAAAATAGCATAAAATCATCATTAAAATTGAAAATGGAAACGAGAGACAACAACCCGACCAAAGAGCAGAAAACAGCCCAAGGCCACCAATGGGTCTTCAACACAGCGAGAAAATACCGCACCCGGAGGCAGGCTTCAGCTGGTCCCTAAATGAAAATGTGTAATAGTTCAGAGAAAATGGACGTCACACTAAATTCCGAAACATATAGATGAACCAAAATTAGAAAAACATACAAGACTAACAAAGGTCAGAGGTTCCTGACTTGGGACAGGCGCAAAAATGCGGCGGGGTTAAACATGTTTTGTGAGATCTCAACCCTCCCCTATACCTCTAGCCAATGTAGAATAAACAAACACATAAAAATACGCACAGTAGAACTCAGTTTAAAGGAAGTCCGAGTCCGATGTTAGAATAGGTAACAGAAGAAACTAAGCAAAATCACAATGATAACATAAATAAACTAACAGTTACTGACATGCCAGCTCCAGATCTCAATTAAACTGATCTGATTAAAAGATTATGTCTTCATCGTATGAAAATCAAGCAAAATCCCTCCTGTTAGGGGTGCATAGATTCTTGTTGTCGAAATATTTCAGAAAAAACCCCCATCTTTTTACTTTATATTTGTAGCAACTCCCAATACCTCCAGATGCATAAAGCTAGGACTCGTTATGACTCTATATTAAGTTCTCGATTAAAAAGGAATTACGTAAATCGAATGACGTATATATCCAACGCAATCATAGGTTTGAACGTTGTTTTCAATTTAGACTTGTTAATATATATATATATATATACAGAAATAATTATGAACAAATTTTGTATGTACGGAATTCGATTTCAGTATATATATAAACGGAATTCTTTATGTATATACGAAATGTGATTTACGCATATATGTAAATCGAATTTCGTATATAAATAAATCAAATTCCGTATATACAAAATTATTTCTGTATATACGTAATTAGATATATATAGATTCTACCACTGCATCGAGTGTGATACGATATTTATCCACTCGAGACAGTTAAATTTTCAAATTTAAAACGCGAGGCTCGCCGAGCGTTTTAAATATTTAAAATTTAACTGTCGAGAGTGGATAAATATCGTATTACACGAGATTTGGTGGTGGAATCTGTTTCTCTAATGATTTTCAAACAATACGCAGGCAAATGTATTCCTTCTTTTCGAATGATCTGCAAAAAGATGTGTTCTTTCTATGTGACGTCATCAGGCATGGTCGCCTTTTTTCATGCCGTCACAATAGGAAATTCAGAGGAAAGCAAGAAAATTCGACGTCATAATCGGATTTTAACCAATGAAGAACTGAGATCATACGAACCACACGTTGATTAATTTTTTTTTATACAATGGGTGCAGAAAGGGATAAATTGACGAAGAATTAGAGAAATGTATATACGGAATTATTTCTGTATATACGTAATTCTTTTTCTCTATATACGGAATTATTTATGTATATATACATAATTCGATTTTTGTATATACGTAATTCGATAAACGTGTGTACGTAATTATTTTTGTATAAACGTAAATCGAATTATGTATATACGCAAAAAGTATTGTTGACCTTGATTCCGCGCCACACTTTCCAATGACAGTAAGACTGAAGTAATAATCAGTCAAAATATTCAATTTAAAGTATTATGTAATGTTGTTTATGTAGATTTAGAATTAAAAACATCATAGTTATTCGAATATCATTTATAAACACTGAATTTAATTTATGTAACAGAAAATAGTGCAACGATTACAACTATTGTTAAACAACAACAACAACACATAGCTGTGTATAATCTCAATTCATTTAAAATCTTCCACAGAGTAAAAGTTTAAAAATAAATAATGAATGTCGTTTGTTGTTGTATATCATATTTGTTTTTCGTTCATTGTTTTGTACATACATTAGGCCGTTTGTTTTCTTTTTTGAATTGTTTTTACATTTGTCATTACCGGACCTTTCATAGCTGACAATGCGGTATGGATATTGCTCATTGTTGAATGCCTTATGGTGACATATAGCTGCTAACTTCTATGTCATTTGGTCTCTGGTAGAGAGTTGTCTCATTGTCATTCATACCACATCTCCTGTTTTTTTTTATGTTCTTATTTTTATACTTGACGAATCTCATGAGTTTTGGGGTACGTAAAAGTGTCGTCAACAAATTTCTATAATAAATATAATTGAAAAAGGCGAGCAAGCATTCAATAACCTCGTATTTTTTAAATTTGTTAAATGATATGTATATTATTTTAAACAAAGAAAAACACCTTAAAACAAAAGTTTGATATATGTACAAGATAGTGTACTGCCTTACATTACGATCGACGCACACGAATAAACAACAATAATATATCAATCTTGTTTATAAACATTTACTTTTAAAAGAAACAATGATAAAATATATAAGTTTAGAAATTACATTACTATTTGGATGTTAAATGGACAAAAAGAATGAACAGGTATGATTTTCTCTCTCTCTTTATATACGTTTACTTATATGATCACCTTAACGGCTATTCATTTTTTTTCAAAGCTTATCGCAGATACGTTAATTGTCCTTTAATTTAATTTCTATATATACATTATGTGTAGTGCACATTATTATATACATTAGCAAGCCAACTCGTCACATTCCTGTTATTCAAGTTGGACCTCTATACCTTGAAACCAATCACTAATTAAAAAATCTATCTCTTATTGCAGACTTTTTATGGATAAACAAGCCATGTTTTTGACTCCACTTATATAGTAATGCTTAAAAATTTACTTGTATTTTACTGTGTAGATAGAAGTATTTGTTGTTTTCATGTATATTTTCTTGAATTACTTATAACTAAGATCTTATGACTAAGAAGAAAAGTGTCTTGTTGTTCAGTGCATGTTTTTTTTTGTTAAGCTTTGCGACCGTTTCTTTTCCTTTTATATAAAGCCTCGGTAGTATGTCATAAGAGTGGTCTACAGTGATCCTTTCGAGCTGGCAAAACTTAGACTTAAAAATATTCATACTGCTACGGCACTGTCCCAGGTTAGGAGGAGGGTTGGCACCTTCAAATTAGTGTAACCACGCCACATTCTGTATGTTCCTGTCCCAAGTCAGGAGCCTGTAATTCAGTGGTTGTCGTTTGTTACTGTTTATCATATTTGTTTTTCGTTCATTATTTTCTACATAAATTAGGCCGTTAGTTTTCTCGTTTGAATTGTTTTACATTTGTCATTTCGGGGCCTCTTATAGCTGACTATGTGGCATGGGTTTTGCTCATTGTTGAAGGCCGTACGGTGACCTATAGTTGTTAATTTCTATATCATTTGGTCGTCTCTTATGGAGAGTTGTGTCATTGGCAATCATACCACATCTTCTTATTTTTATATATATCTGTTATATACATATAATTACACAAAATATTGAAATGAAATAATTGCAATTTCCTTTATCTGAGGAATAACATTCTTCTGGAAAATGTACATATCAAAGTTTATTTGTTTTATTTATTTTTGTTTATTTGAAGCATTCTTTGATATCTTGTAGCATGGATTACCATCAGTTATCAACCTCAATGTAGGAGGGTATTTCTTCACAACGAGGCTTTCGACATTGCGAAAATATGAAGACTCCATGCTTGCAGCCATGTTTAGTGAAAGATACACACTAGACAAAGACAAAGATGGAAATTTCTTTTTGGATATGGATGGAAGTAGATTTAAGCACATACTTAATTACCTCCGCAATGAACAACATCTTCCGCCGCGTAATATTGCACAGGAAGTTTTGGCAGACGCTACATATTTAGGCATAAACGCACTTGTTGACCAAATTAGGTCACTTGATCATGACTGGGAAGATGTTCGCAATTCTGTTCCATATTATTCAGAAATGAAAGAAAAAATCATTAAACTAGGCGAGACAGTTGATGCCCACTCCGAAATACCGCCATCTTGGAAATTTCACCCACATGTGATTCTTGACTTCATCATAGATGATGGTTTGCGGATAAATCAAGATCTTTATCAGAAAAGCAGAAGAATTCTAAGACAAGGCAACATTGAAATTAACTGTCCTACTTACGAGGACGCCGTTGCTCTTGCTGGTTGCCTTTACAAAGACATTCTTAACGATGGCTACAACGTAAAAATCGAAGAATTATTTCCCTGCTCTGGACAAGTCTGCAGTGATCAGCCGGTTTCAGAGATCAGCAGTACACTTTCATCAGATGAAAATATAGAAGTGTACACAAACTTCCGTTTTATGCTCATATTTGATTGGAAAAAATTTCCTTCCACTGAATTATAAATACAAATGTTTCAAAACGCATTTTCTTTTAACTAGTTTTATATCTTAACAAATTATCACAAAATAACGTGATATAGAAAAGGGTGTCCTAAAAAAGCAAAATTCTTATGAAAATGAAAGAAGCAGAACAATGATATCAACATGATGAAGGAAATGTAGGGTAAACGTCAACACATCTAGAAGCCAAGTTACCGCACTAGTATTCAACAACAGCTCTCGTTTTAATATGTCTATTATGAACTATAATGCCTCTTTGTTTATTGAAGCCTCTGTTTTGTCGTTGAGGTCAATCTCTTATAACATTTGAACTGCGTCGAATCGAAATCGACCTTATGCAAGTGCACGTATACATGTACATTTATAAGACTTTGATATATTTAGGAACATTCAAATACGAAATAAAAGATGAGTGTTTGTCTGTTTGTAGGGTTCTTTTATTAATTCAATTTTCAAACAGTTACATATTTTGCATAGAGATTTTTTCAACCCAAAATAAGTTAACAGATGTATAGATATTCATTTGCATAAGGTCGATTTCTATCCGACGCGGCTCATTTTTTGTTTTTGCTTATTCAGGATTTCATTTCTGTGTCTGATAAATCCAATCAAAACTAAGCCATACACTGCCTTACCATAACCTGTATCCATAACAGCAACGATTTGACTTGACTTGTATATACAAAAAAATTACAATCATCTCCAAAGTTCTTTAATTGCTTGAATATGTGAAATTTCCGAGACCGACAGAAAAGTTCAATGGAATTGAGTCCCAGATAAACAAACGGATCATACGAAATCAACAAGATCATCTCCTAAATAATAAATCTGAATCTTTTATCTTTTTGATCGAAAAAAAAATCTGGATGGTAGCAAGCTGTTATAGTGTTTCTTTGCAAGAGATATAAATTGAGGGGGAAATTGGTACTTCTTTTTCTATTTGATTCAATTCATTAGATATAAAAAAGAAGATGTGGTATGATTGCCAATGAGACAACTCTCCACAAGAGACCAAATGACACAGAAGTTAACAACTATAGGTCACCGTACGGCCTTCAACAATGAGCAAAGCCCATACCGCACAGTCAGCTATAAAAGGCCCCGAAATGACAATGTAAAACAATTCAAACGAGAAAACTAACGGCCTAATTTATGTACAAAAAATGAACGAATAACAAACATGTAACACATATACAAACGTTTATTTCATTACGAAGTAAACAAAATATAGATGATACAGTTGTGTCTTTTTAGATATTAATACAGTACACCCCAGGATCCTTCTAGTATACACTGTCTGTATCACTCTGCTCAGCTCTTCATCAAATTGCATATCATGGCTTTGTGATATCAAATTCGTTGACCCGGCCTTTTCTAAAATAACTTTGATCCGGACATATCACCGATGTCATAATGGATGAACCGACGTTGACAAGTTTGACCCGAACTTATCAAGTCATCTTCGGTTTGCTCGTGAAACAAAGACAAACACTTGTTTCTATTATACAAGATACACAAATACAATCCGAATAATCGATTATCAGAACAAGAACTTGTTCATCATATTTATATTGAGTTCACTCGACAAAAAAGCTTCATATTGTGACTCGCAGCTAATATTTTACATTATCGGTGATCCCACTGTCTGTATCACTCTGCTCAGCTTTTTCTATTTGATTCAATCCATTAAGTTTATTTCATTATGAAGTAAACAAACTATAGATGTCATGATACTGTTGTGTCTTTTCAGATATTAATCCAGTACACTCCAGGATCCTCCTAGTCTGTATCACTCTGCTCAGCTCTTCATAACATTCCATATATCATGGCTTTGTGACGTCAAATACGCTAACCTGGCCTTTTAAATAACTTTGACCCGGACATATCACCGACGTCATAATGAATGCACCGATGTTGATAAGTTTGACCCGATATGAAGCCTTTTTGAACCCGTTTGCAGCGCTCAATCGACAAAAAGCTTCATGTTGAGACTCGCAGTTGATATTTTACAATATCAATATGCAGACATGTAGAATAACCATACATTGTTTCGAAATTTTATTTGTACAAGGCTAAGAAACAGGTAGAAAGCGAAGCTCTGTCGAGCATTTCTATCCTGTTTTGAGCCGAGTACAAATAAAATGTACATTTCGAGACAATGTATGGTAATTTTTTTATAAACTGCAACTCCTACAACTGTTCCAAATAAAATATTTAGGGTAAAAAACCATCATTTTTCAATTCGGAGCGAACGACGTAAAAATTCCGCGAACCTGTACTTTTAATGACGTCATAAATAAAACTCTACGCAAACGCATTGTCAAACGTCATAAACAAGGCGATATACGGTTAGTGACTGTATATCACAAATGATTATACGGTCAATGCAATTTGATTGCGCAAATAGCACAGCTGCAGTAAATAACCTGATAATCGATACATATCAATATGCAGACAACCTGATAACCGGTACATTTAAGGAATGACTGTAATATTTGTTCTGTCTATGAAGAAATAACCTAAAAAATGTGGTGCACACTAAATAACCCGCGTAGCTAAAACGTAAATTCCGTTTTTAAGGAGTAAATTTTGAAAAAAAAACGTTGGTGACGTCAAGGTCACATGACAAAATTATGTCTATGAGCTGATAGACAAAACACTGTCAGCCAATCAGAAGACGTCTTACATCCAAAATTAAATTATATCTGGATATCTTCATTTCTACTTCAGAATGCCTATTTCTACTAGATTAAAGGATTTTGATCAAATTCCAATTTGTTCTGTGAAAAACCACCAAAGATACCAAGCTTCTAATTTTGTACGCCAGTCTCGTGTTTCGTCTACAAGAGACTCGTATTAGTGGTGCTCGAATAAACATAAGTTAATAGGCCAAATAGAGTACAGAGTTGAAGAGTCTTGAGGACCAGAAATCACGAAAGGTTTTACCAAATACAGCTGAGGTAATCTATTCCTGTGGTAAAATATCCGTAATCATGGTAATATTCAAAATTCAAATACAAAGTTTTGTAAACAATTAATTTATTTATATTACCATATCAAAGATAAATAAGGTCATCGGAGAAATGCTGACTACTGGACTAGTGTAACATGTACCTTATCATCAAACAGAAAAAAGCCAACAACAAAAAAGCAGTAAAAATACGTATACGCTTAAGGAATGACGATTTATGAAACCAAAATTATAATAAATTGTGTTCGCACCAAATTTACGTTTTTTTAACATAAAACAACGTGTTGTATCACAACGTGCATGATATTTATACGAGTGACATTTCAAACATGCTTATTTACGCATTTTATTATTTTGACCTTTCAGTTTTTTACTTTTCTAGTGTTAAAGGGTTGATTCTTGTCTCCGTGACAATAACCTGACGTCTCGTTAAAATTTTATTCTATTTTGATGTAATTAGTCAATTTTTAATTTTTGTTTTGTATTTGTTCGTATATACTATATATGTATGTATGCTTTCTTTTTTCACATTTGACATTTACGAAAGAATTTACTTTACATTTAATGACAAAACATGATATTGTTCTCGTAATTAACCATCTATCATAGCCAGTTTTATCCGTCTTAAACTGACATAAAACATCTTTTAATAAAACTGTAAACAAATTTACTCATTATACCAACAAAATCGTTGCGGAGGAAAGATGCATAAATTTGTTGTCCTATGTGTCTTGGTTATAGTTTCAACTTGCATAGCACAGAAGACAAAAGGACGACCAAAGATTGTCGTTAAACCTAAAGGTAAGACAACTATATTATGAACCTGAATCGCTAACCTGACAAATTCACCCGAAGTTGCTAACAAGAAAAAAGAACCTCTGGTAAATTGAAATTGAATGTCCTTGTTTTTATCAATCCCCAATGATTCGAAACTCACGCATTGTAGTTTGATAGAAGATTTTTGAAATTGACCAATGAGATTCCAAAATTGAATCTGTTGGACACGTTTTTCATCCGATCAAATTTAAACGAGGATCTTTTGCAGAAGACCTTCTATCATATATCATGTCCGCGAAGTTTGCTAAAATGCCAGACGCGGTTTCAGAGAGGAAGATGATAATGCTGAATGAATTCTGTACAGAAATATATGCGTTTCAAAAGTAGACTTCACCTTCAATGAGTGTACGTGGTTTTGGAATACATAGCTGTTTCAGGACGTCCAAAATAATTCTGTCGAGGCTCTTTGATACTAACTTATTCAAAACATGGTTGGAAAAAAGTAAAAGGTCATGCCGATTTATGATAATATTATTAACACTGAAATTGGTACTTTCCAATTCGGTGTACTGGAACTATTAAACAAAGATATAAGTTTAATGACGAGTTAGAATAATATGTCTACTTTAAATACGAGTGTAGCTTTAAAATCTAAAATTATGATATTTCAGACAAATAAGAGAGATTCCTTTCTGCAATTTTTTAGTTTTGTTTTATTGTTTTTTGCTGAAACCAAAGGACGATTTTATGAATCCGTTCCACGGTTTTGGTCTTGTGATTCACCCGTTCAAAAGAAGGGAGTATATTGTTTTACCTCTGTCTGTTCGTATATCATTCCGTAACAATTGGGGGGGGTTGTAGTTTTTTTTTCTTTTCTTTCTCTGTTGTATTTGTATTTGTTTTGTTTAATATTTTGTTAATTTTTTTATGGTTTATTGTTGGTGTTTTGGATCATTTTTTTCTATTCATTTAATTATTCATAATTCAATGATGTAAATATTTTTAGGAATTTCAGTCAACACAGATATTGAGAAGTGTCGAACTTGTAGCCGGTATTTTAAAGGAGACAACAGGCAGCTGTGTAACAATTTGTTTTGCAGTAGTAAGGTTTTAATGATAATCTTTTAAGAGTAACATGCATATATAAAATTTTGGATTGAAACAATAATTTTAAAAGATTATGAGTTCAGTCGCTTGTGAAACCATTCTACTTAAACTGGTCAGGGCTTTTGATAGGACGCCAGTTTATAAAGGCGTGGTAAGAAGTCACTGAATGGTCTCCAATAAGATTTCCTATTTGAAAAATTATGTTTGTAAAAGTTTGGGGCATGTTAACGTTATGAGTCGTAAAATAGATTCGCAATTTTATGGACTCTATTCATAATGACGTTGATTTCGATAACTTGCTCTGTAAAAACTGAGATGCAATCGAGTATAAATCATTAGAAAAAAAATGAAAACAACACGTTATAAATTACATGCGTTTGAAGCGCTTTTCTGGATTTACCATCATCAGGAACGCTCAAAGCCGAATATTAGAAAGCCAAGGATGTATAAGAACCGAAGCAGTTGAAGAGTTGTATGACCAAAAAGGACCTAAAAAATTACCAAATCAATCTAAGGTCAACTTTGCCTGAGGGAATTGAAACCTTAGTTTCTTTATAATTTAAAATTTCATAAACGGACAATTTTAGAAAGGTTTGTTATGAATCATGTCAGTACCGAAGCACTTACTAATGAGCTGATGATACCCTCAGGGACTACTAGCAGAGGTATCGAACCAGTGCTGTAAAAAATGAAAATAACAAGTTATAAATTTCATGCATCCGAAGCGCTTTTCTGGATTTACCTTCATCAGGAACGCTTAAAGCCAAATATTTAAAAGCCAAGAATGTATAAGAACCGAAACAGTTGAAGAGCTATATGACCAAAAAGGACCTAAAAAAATTACCAAATCCATCTAAGGTCCACTTTGCCTTAGGGAGTTGAAACCTTAGTTTTTTTATAATTCAAAAAATTATAGAAGTTTGGTTTGGTATAACCTGTATCAATTATAGCAACTAGATAGCAAATATTTCTATAAATGCATAGTCTGTTTCTTATTTTCACAGAAGACAAAGCCAGAAAAAACTTGAAAAGTCCTCAAATATGCAGTTCGTGTACTAGAAAGTTTACAATCCTGAAGAAACAACAGACGTGTAAGGAAGTTTTCTGTGCAGGACCTAGTATGTATAATACATTTCTGTTGATATGATATAAATGGCATATATCTTCATTTTACGGTTTGGTTTGGGATGGAGGTTTGAAACGCTCAATCTCAAAAATTAAAAGCCAAGGATTATGAGTACAAAACACGTAACGAGCTATATGACTTTAAACAAATGTAAAAAAAAGTAAATATATCTAAGGCCAATTTTGTCTGAGGGAATTGGAGACTAAGTTATCTGATAATGTCATAATTTATCAACAAATAATATAAGACAATTTTATTATAAATCTTGTCAGTCCCGGAAGTGTATAATTTTTTACAATTATAACTAATGAGAATCACAATGATATAAAACATTCACCTACAATAGTAGTCACGTACCTTTAGTCAATAAGGTTATTATCCTAGGAAATGAGAAAAAAAAATGTTGCTTGTTTGTTTTAGTTTAGATTCACTGGTTGCTCCAATTTTAGAAAATAAAATCCAAGCCTCAAATTATTCCTGACCGTTTTATATCATGCTAATCTATGAATGCAGCTTTAGATACATTATATTTCTCTTCAACAACACTTATCTAAGCTATAGGAATTGATTTTTTTTGTACTTTGACTGAAACACTGAAAACCGAAATCATATAGTCTCTGATTCGTTTGTTGAGTCTAGATATGTTGTTAGATAGTTGTTTAGTTATCCTCCTACAGTTTTAAAAATACACAATTAAAGTCTCAAACTATGATAATTCCTGACCTTTTAACATCATGCTAATATATGATAATTACATCTTTAGACATATTGAATTTCTCAATTCGATTTCTTCAGCAACATTTATCTGAACGAAATAAATTGCATTTTATTTTACTCTGACTGAAACCCTGAAAACCAAAGGCCTATGTTCTCTGTTATGCTGTTTAAATGTTATGTTAAAATAACTTTTGTAATAAAACTTTTCAAAACATTTGAAATTCGCATTATGAGGGATTTGAAAAAAACATAGTAAATTATGCGTGCCACTTGTGGAGCAGGATCTGCTTGTCCTTCTGGAGTACCTAAGAGCACCCCTTCCACAATTGTTTATATATCTTAGTGCAGTTAAGATGAATTATTCGACCAAAATTTAGATTTCTCATCTGTCACGTATAGGTGGTGCATGACGTATTTTTAAAAATGAAAATAAGATGGTATAGTAAATTTGCCAATGAGAAAAATATTCACCAAAAAAACAAAGGGCATTGATATTATCAAATATAGATCAGTGAACGTCCTGAATTGCACATCACAGCTTTTTATTCACAAACTAATATACAGAAAATTCCTTTTAAACTATAATGAATAATAAAAAATAAAAGAAAAAAGAATTTAGTCAACTGTATTTTCACAAAAAGATACCAACACAGCTCAAAAAGAGCATGTGTACTGAAAAGTACAAATAAAGCAAAGAACACTGTATAAAGCATTGTTTTTATTCTGTTTTAGCAACAGTTGATCCTACCACCTTTCCCGCAAGAGCTTTGGCCTTTACAGTGGATATGCTATGTGCTTACTGCAGGGCTATAAATAATTATAATTGCCTTGTACACTATGGTTGTCCACGGTAGACGATTGTGTACCATAAGACAAACAAGCTAATCTTAAAATACTTTGTTTATAGTTCGTTAATCGTGGATAAAATTTATCTAAACTGTGCGGGTTTGTTATTATTTGTTTTAGTTTTACGCCATGTGCCGTCTTAATAGGCAAAGGTGGATCGGGGGAGGGGTATGGCCAATCGGATAAATATCTGCCTTAAGATTAAAGGACCCTCGAGGAATACAACTACAGGTCATTGGACCGTAGTCAAGAAAGAGAAAAACCCATAAGGTATATTTAGCTATAAAATTCCCGGGTAGCACATTGTGAAACAAACAAACTAACGTTATGGTCTAGGCCTATATGCAAAACGAAAAAACTGAATGAAAACTTTGTTAAAACAAAAGTCTTTTGAAGTCTTATATAAACGGAACGCACGTCTGGCGTGCCAAATTATAATTTTAGTATCTTTCAGCTCCCAAACTAGATAATATATTTTGTTGTTGCTATGCATAATAAGTATGTTACTTATATGATTGTTAAAAAGCCTGCTCGTCAACTGCGTACAATGGGATGCAACTTTCATTGTACCTAATTGATAACGCCATGTACAAGATTTGCCTCCCTGCCCCCTTGCCCCCATTGTTACTTCATCCGGAGATCATTTTCCAGCCACATTTTATTATGTATTTGATATTTTTTTTATCCAATGTAAAATTAGAGAACTAGGAAACCTCCAGCTTATCTAAAGGATTTTATTCTATCTTCTTATGAAATGCATCAGTTTCCGACCTTGAAGATATTACCTCTGAACACATGGTTCAACTTCAGTCTTCTACACCAAAATATGAAGCAAGTGCTACCGTTCGTACAAAAATCCTACATCTACGAACATTGTGACATAACTGGACAAACCAATTGAAGAATAAACAATTCAGATTAAAATATTGGAACGGAAGTTGTTGGCCGAACAACACGGGCTCTTTGTAGACAAGAAAACATCCGGTGTTGATAAAAAGACTTCAAGAATCAAAGCGAAGGACAATGGTAAAATTAAAATTAAAACATTAAAACTGGTAACCTTGAATCAGTTACGGGATACAGATAAGGTCAACAAACAGGCTAAAGAGCTCAATCAGCACCTTTATAGATCAATCTTCAGATTCAGATTCTACTTCTTCAAGTGACAATGACGAGGATAAGAGTCAAGCCCAAATTAAAGGTAATGATTGACTATATGCATTGTTCAAAGACAAACAAAAACGTAACGCATTTTCGGGTGAAGCAAAGGCCGCTAAGGATCGGGTAACTTACGATGTGTCATGGCCACATGAGCATGCCCAAACCAAATCAGTGAATTATTCGGATGAACACTTCGGACTCACACAGATTGTTAGAGGTGAAACATTTGACATACATAACATAGAAGCCATAGCAATGCTCAGACAGAAGCATTTGATTAATCTGTTTTTTCTCGCCGGAAAATGGTCCTTTGCGGAGACAAAGGATTTTAATGCCGTAGTTTTGCGTTCAAAAGAAGTCATAAAAATTGGTCTCATGTATTTTTAGAAGAACTAGGCCAAACTCTCCTTAAATTTTCATCTAAACTAACAGAAGAAGTACTCAACGATAAAGTTAATTGCAATCCCATTTGCGGCGCCTAATTATCAAGCGGAAAACTGTAGTCGTTCCGGGGATCATTTTGGAGCCTATGAAGACATGTTTGCAGGAAGTGCGTTCGTAAAGGCAAAGACTCAAGAAACTCGTCCGTTCGACATCCATTGAAGGATTGTCCGCATCATGAATGATGTTCAACTTCAGTGCTACATTGTGCATCTGCTTAAATAATCAATAATTACATTCAGCATAATATCATGAAACCACCTGCTGTGCCAGGTGTGTACTATAATGAATATATCATTCGCAAAGAGAAATCATGTTCCTCTGGAAATGTGGGCGTGTTATTGTGTGATAATTTTGTGAAACCTCCTGCAATTCCAGATGTGATTGTTTCCCCTGATATTCAGGTGTGTACTTTAGTGAATTTACCATGTTTAAAGAAAAAATCATATTCTCCTGCAAATGCGGGCGTGCTATTGTATGGTCCTCAAAATTTGTTTGGAATATCCTCTGCAAATAAGACAGACATTTTTATAGCAATATTTGTAATTTTGTGCTTAGAGTTGTGTTTATTTATGAAAATGATGCATATTTACTGCAACCTTTATTATGTAGCACTGATTTTGACACTGTTATCAAAGATAACCATTGTTGTTGATGAAACTAATAATATACTTTTAGTTTTAAATGTTTGTCCTTGGTTTACGAAAACAGCAGGGTCTATAGACTATTTTCATATTACCGACTTTTTACTTAGAATTATATAATTTTTCGACCTAATCTGTGGTAGGACATCCTGGAACTCAGTCAGGTAAGAGCAACCAAAAGAAGTAAAATTAAACATATAATCGGTGCAATTTGGGGGGAAAGTTTACTGTTTTCCGATTATTTTTTTGTGTATAGAAAAATATGAAACAGTTAATTTCCCCCGAAAATTCCACCGATTGAAAGCTTGATTTTACTTCTATACGTTGCTCTTACTTGGTCGAGTACCAGGATGTCCTACCAAAGAGTAGGGTATCTGTCGAAAAAATACTCCAGAGTCAAAAGTCGGTAATATGAAAATAGTCTACTGATTTTAAATATCGTTCAAATTTAGTGAAATGGATATGAATATTTTTTCACGTGTTCGTGAAGCCGAATTTTAAGCATTCATGATTGTAAAATTCCAGTACGTTCTAATGTTTTAATATTCAATTTAGGGAAAACTTTTGGAAGATTATAGGACGGAATAAGAACATGTTGAATTTAGTACATCAACTATGGTGCTTGTGTATGAAAAGTAATGTTCAATTGAGTGTGAGTTATATAGCATCTGTGGGAAATATGTTATCGGATTTGCTATCCGGTTAAAATCGGTCGGAGAAGAAGAAAACACAGTTCTTCATAAAATCTAATGTGTACAATTAAGATTTTGCTGAGAAAGATGTACCTAACCTAGTTACATGTTTAATGATGTCATCAATATCTAGGTGTGCATACATGATACATTTGTACTATTTTAGTATAATTAGTGATAAGTGTAACTATACTAACTAGTATTACATAGTTGTGTATCTAATTACTGTTGTCTTGTGACTTCCTGGTCTTTAGTCCAAAAGAGCAGTTTTACAGAAGAGGTCAAGCTTGCTAAAGGAGCAGCCCCTCGGTCTGGTATTTTTTCTAACCCGAAAAATCAACTCAATGCATACAATATATTTTGAGTGTTTTATAAATTTCGACCATTTATATTTTCCATTGTGTAAGGATGCCTTGTGTGCTAACGCAGGTTCTGTTAAAAACAAATATATCTGGCATGAGTACCTGGAGTCAACTGTTTGAGTTTGCTATGGACCTTTTTTTATCTACAGATTAGAAATTGAATTTAAGGGGATTGAGCCACAAGATTCAGTATGTGGCCGTGTCAACATTGTCATTGTTTTACTTGACATTGTTAAGTTGTTGAATATATTTATGATTGTGTAGGTGCTTCTTTATGGCGTTTTCTAACGTTGGCATATTTCAATATGCTTAGTGCGTCGGATCTGGTCAGAAGCTCTCTGTCTTTTAATTTCCGGGGACAATTGAACAGGAAGAATGGTTTTGGTAGTCATAGGGCATCCTTCTTTTATTGAATTGGTCAAAGACTATACACGATCATGATTATGCACATGTTTTTTTCTTCTTCCCTATATTTGATTGCATTATTATAATAAAGCACCTTTCGCAAAACACTATTAGTTGTCGATTGCGTACAATGAGAGGCAACTCTCATTGTACCTAATTGATTACGCCATGTACTTGATTTGCGTCCCTTGTAACGTCATCCAGGTTTTAGTTAACATGTGGTTTTAAGAAAGAAAGCATGTCCATGTTGTAATGTACTATTATATTATTTATTTATGTATTTCTCTGTGCTAAGTGTTCTGTTTGTACTGTATTCCTGTGACGTTGTGTTGTCATTTTAGCAAAATGTGTATGACCCCTCAACTAAAAGTTGGGGGCATATTGTTTTACCCCTGTCCCTCCGTCCGTCTGTTCTTATTATTTACTTGCATAAAAGGTGCATAGGGTTTCCGGATTACTCCTCCTACAGTTTGAGTGCTAGGAGTGTTTTCACTTTGCTGGCTGTTTGTACATATATTGAAGGTATGCAGGTGGTCAGGGTTTTGATTTTAATTAATATTTGCTCTTTTGGGAGATAGTTGAAATTTGTCTTTTTTTGGAGTATATACTTGCATCAGAGGATAAATCCTCCTACAGTGAAAGATATACCTATGTGCTCTCATGCTCATCTTTGTGTATTTTAAAATAACACTTTGCATCTGCTGGGGCATCATTTGTGTCTCCCAGACACCATTATATCTCAAAGCAAGTCCTACATTGACTTTGTTATAATACAGTTATTTCAGAGTGGAGTGCGGGGGCATCACTTTGTCTAGTTAACATTGCCATATAAGCGGGAGGTTTGGCTAGCCATGAAACCATTTTTTCTTAAAATATCCTGTGCCAAGTCAGGAATATGGCAGTTATTATCTACAGTCCGTTTCTATGTATGTTGGCGTTTGATTTTGTTGTAGTTCAGTGTTTCTATTGTTCCGTTGTTTGCCTCTTATAGTTAATGTGTTTCCCTAATATTGTTAGCTTTATTAAGGTAGCTTTAAGATAATCTTCAGTGTCAGATTTATAAGCATAAACAAACTGTGTTTTTATTTAAAGGTCTCTTTGGTCATGGTGCATACCTATGTTCAAGGACTCTTCGGTCATGGTGAATACCTGTGAACATGATCTTTTTGGTTATGGTGCAAACCTGTGTTCAAGGTCACTTCGGTCATGGTGCATACCTGTGTTCAATGTCCAATCGGTCAATGAGTATACTTGTGTTCAAGGACACTTCGGTCATGGTGCATACCTGTGTTCAAGGTCTCTTCGGTCATGGTACATACCTGTGTTCAAGGTCACTTCGGTCATGGTGCATATCTGTGTTCAACTTGGTATCTTCGGTCATGGTGCATCCC